CGGGGCTGCCCGGGCCCCCTCGCTTGCGCAGGCGCCTGCGGGGCGAGGGCGAGGGCGAGGGCGAGGGCGCCGCCGCTCCGGGGACGCGCCGCGGGGACGCGCGCCTGGGGCCGAGCCACGATGCGGCTCCGCGCGGGGCTGTGCCCGGGCCTGAGCGCCGAGGCCGTGCGGCTGCTGCGCGCCTCCGGCGTCCGGACAGGTGAGGCCGGGCGCCCTGGCCGGGGGCGGAGGGCGAGGCGAGGCCGCCCCCGCGCGGCTTGTCGGGCTCGGGCGCCCTTCCCTCGGCCCCGAGCCCCCACCGGCCTGGGGCGGCCCGGGCGGGTGCGCGCACTTTGCGGGAGGGAGAAAAAGGGTTTACTTATTTATTTGTGTATTTGAACCATTTCTATGCCGCCCCATTCGCAAAAAGCCTCGGGGCAGCTTACGACATAAATAAACAATTACATAATGAGCCTTAAAAATCCGGAAACATCTCGGTGCATACATAAAAACCCAATAAATGCAATCAGTAAATTAGCAATTAAAATGACGTTTGAATACAAAGGTCTTGGCCTGGCGCAGAAAGCAAATAACGACGGCGCCAGGCGGACCTCTCTGGGGAGCGCATTCCAGAGGTGGGGTGCCACTGCAGAGAAGGCCCTGCTCCGGGTGCTCACCCTCCTACTGTCTTTCACGGAGGGCCCCCGAGAAGGGCATCCGCCGCCGATCGCAAGGGGCGGGAGGTTGTCTCTGCCACTTTCTTCACACCATGGATTCTTTTGTCCGTATCTCCCTTCACTCGTATTTTTTTTAAAAACGAAGCAGCTCATGCATGCTGGTGCTCAGTGAGGTTCAAAGGTATCCCCATTGGGTCAAGGTGGGTCAGGAGGCGAGCGGTCAAAATGAAGGTTGCACATGTTAGTGTTTGGGAACATGTCCAGCTGAGCCTTTTCCCTTCGGAACATCTGCTTTGCAGTGGTGGACCTCGTCTCGTCAGATCTGGAGGAAACTGCTCGGAAGTGTTCCTTGTCCTACAAGGTGAGCTGGGAGCGCCGCTCCAGAGGGACGGACGGTTGGATTTTTCGGCAGACGACCTTCTGCTCCAGCTCATCGGCTCCCCAAGAAACAAGAGCCCTCCAGCAAGATGTCATGGCACCGGGCACTGAACGCTGGGTGATGGTGTAGCTGCCTGCAGAGCCAGCAACGCTTTGGGGAACGCCACAGGTGGCCTCCCGGAGCGGAGACTGAGGCTGGCTTCGGATGCGCGTGGCGCTCGCAGCGGAGCCCACCTCCTTCAGTGACTCAGCCGGGGGCGAGCAGCAGTGGCCCCGGGCGCCTTGCCTGGGGCTTGTGGAGTCACCCACGGTGTGAATGCTTCCCTTCCGTCTTCAGGAGCTCCATTGCACTGCCTTTCCCAAGCTGGCACCCTCTAGATGCACTGGACTCAACACACATCATCCACCACCTGGCTGGGGATGATGGGAGTTGCCGCCCAACCCGTCTGGAGGGCCCCAGCTGGGGAGAGCGCTGCTTGCTGACGCATGGGCCTGTGCCCTGGGCCCTCGGCCAGCCTTTGTCCTTCAAGTTGCTGGCAGTGCTTCTCCCTGCAGTTCAGGCTGAGGCGGGCTTTGCGGGGGGTTTCCATGCTTCCCACGGCAGGCCTCGTGATGCCCCCTCTGCTTCCTTCGCAGGCCTTAGTGGCGATCAGGCGCGTGTTGCTGGCACAGTTCTCCGCCTTCCCAGTCAGCGGGGCTGATCTCTACGAAGAGCTAAAGACCACCACGGCCATCCTGTCTACCGGCATCCAAAGGTAAGGTGGGCCACCCCGCCTCCCCGGGCCTCTCAGCCCAGAATGGGTCTGCCACCATAACTTCCAATTCTGGGATATCAGGATTTCACCACAGGGATGCGAAGGGATGGAGAGATGCCTGCGGCAGCTTTCCTCCCTTCTTCCGCAATCTATTTTCCTTTGTTGTGCCTCTTTAGATTACAAGATTTACGGATTGACTGGGTTCAGAAAACACGCTCGAGGGTTAGGTGTTGGTTGTTGTTAAAGCGTGAGTTACTGTGTTGTCGGAACCCAACTGAGATAACAAGCCGCAGTCATAGCCCACAGTTTACAACCCAGCAACAAACCATGGATTCTCTTCATGGGTTGTTCAAGTTTAACAAACCATAGTTTGGTAGCACAGGTGGGACCAGACAACGTGATAACCCATGTTTCAACAACCCACAGTTCAATTAGTGTATTGTACATTGCAAATACGTTGTTCTGGGATCCCTTCGGGGATCCCAAGGAGCAGGATAAAAGTGCTTTAGATCAATCCATAGACCATTTAAACTGGGTAGAGCTTTCTTCAGAGAAGCACCTGCTGAGGCCCTGCCTCCGTCAGAAGTCAGGGTAAATGGAGAACTTTTTGGCACCTACTGAATGCCTGCTGTGGCACAGTAGAATTACCTAAGTGGGGGGACCACTGCCAAGAAGGCCCTGTCCCATGTGCCGTCTTGGTGCTAGGCCTCTCTGTCTGAGGCAAAGTGCAAAGCTGGCTTTGCGGCTCTGGCTGAGGACTCTGCCTTTAGGCATGAGGACAGCCGTGAGGGAGGTAAAGGCAAGAAAGTTTGAAAGGTGGAAGTGTGAAGTAGCGGTCAGGCCGTTGGACTGTGGCTAGCAAGATCCAGGCTCCAGTCCCCTCCTGGCCCTGAAGCTCACTGGGCAACTTTAGGCCAGTCCCTGATTCTCGGCCTCATCTACCTCACAGGGTTGTTGTGAGCATATGACAAGGGCCTCAGAAGCTGCCTTGAGCTCCTTGGAGGAAAAAGCGGGATATAAAAGTAATAATAAACACACGAGAGGGCTTTCCGTGTTCTGAAGCCCTTGTTCTCTTTCTTTCTGGCGTTTAGCCTGGACAAGCTTCTTGACTCTGGCTTGTATACTGGGGAACTGACGGAGCTTGTGGGGGCCCCCGGCACCGGCAAGACACAGGTAGACCCCGCTCGAACGGCACGCGGAGCAGCCACTGCTGTTGCGCTCTGGGCCTCTGCGTTGTGCTAGTGAAATCCTCCAACGGGGCGACTCCAGCTGCGCGTCCATAGGCATTTCCTTGTGTTGTTTGCAAGAATTAAAAAAGGCAGGATAGAAAGCCACACACTGCCCAGGTGGCTTCAGCCATTGGGCTGCATAGGAACAAAATAAATCTGAATGCTAATAGTAGCAACGGTACATATCCCCTCTTCCTAGCCTGCCCTTTATTGCCCAAGAGGCTCTTTGGGGAGGTTTGTCTTTAATGTCTCTGAGCGGCACTTTGGACTGTAACCCCCAGGATGCCTAACTTTTGGCCAGGCGTGCAGAGGCTGATGGGAGTTTAAATGCCGGTTGTCTGGAGGCTAAGCATCGGTGGTCTGGGGAGAGGTGAGGCCTGGACGTGGGTCATGTCTGATGTGTGCGGGTTGTTGGAGCCTGGTTTCCAGCAGCCCCAGCCAACATAGCCAGTGATAGGGGATCATGGGAGTTGGAAGCCCTCAGTGGAAACACTTCAGGGATAGAAGGAGTTCAGCCCTCTGTGTGATTTTACGGGACCCCCAGCGACCTTCCTAAGTGTGAAAGGGGGATGTGGTATGTTTGCACACGGAGCCCACAAATGGCCAGATCCCTGCCTCGAGACTGCGGATCGTCCGCAAACTGTTTGGTGCTTTCCCAGCACTTTATCACGCTTCAGGTGTTTCCGAAACCTCTCCCAGACCTGAGTTGCTGCTACTGGGAGCTTTGAGCTGCAAAAGGCTAGGGGCAGGGTTGGTATTTTTGCCCCACTTCTTTGGGCTTTGGGCCCACCCACCCCTGGAATGTGGCCCTGAGCTTCTCCAAATTGAATTCAGTCCTTAGGCTGATGGGGGTGCCCCCCACTGGCTCAGCAGGTATGTCTGCATGAGTCCAGGACCTCCACCACACGAGGCAAAATGGGTGGCAAGAAAGAGCAGGGCCGTCTTAGTTGTGGTGCCTCTCCTCTAGCACCCCTTCGCTCTATCTTCTATGCCTCCGAGGGGAAGCACTTCAGTAGAACTGCGTGTAGCGGCATCCCTTCTTGGCTGCCCCCGAATCCGCTTTGTTTTAAGCAGTGGGACAGAAGCCGCGTGACTGCGGAAAAGCAGCATGGGAGGGGAGGCCCCTCCGAGGGTGGCGGATGCTGGGAGCGGAGAGGTGCGGGCAGCGGTGCCACGTGGCGCCAGCCCTCCCTCCTGCCTGCGTTTCAGGTGTGCCTCAGCATAGCCGCCTGCGCCGCCCAGTTCCTCAAGCAGAGTGTCCTGTACGTCGACTCCACTGGCGGCGTCACGGCCGCCCGCCTGCTGCAGCTGCTTGAACTCAAGACGGAGGACAAGCAAGAGCAGGTCAGTGTTTGTCTTCGAGTGGCCGCCATTCGGCGCTGAGATAGGGAAGGCACCTGTGGCTATTCGCAACTGGGGCATCCCAGGAGGGGCAGGATTGCTGCACCCACTGAAGTTCTCCAAGCCAGTGCGGTGTCGTGCTTCAGAGCATGGGCCTGGGACTCAGGTGATGCGGGTTCGAGTCCCCGCTCGGCCATGGAGGCCACTGGGTGACTTTGGGCCAGTCACAGCCTCTCAGCCCAGCCTACCTCACAGGGGTGTTGTGGTGGGGATAAGATGGAGGAGGAGAATGATGTAATCTGCCTTGAGCCCTTGGTAGGAAAAAGGCAGGCTATAAATCGAAAAATAAATAAATAAGCAGGCAAGCAGGCAAGCAAGCGTCAGTTTGCACCTTGGGCTAGTCCACTCCCGTTCTGCTTTGCGCCTGCCTGCCTTCCCGCCTGCCTTCTCTGGGTTTGGTTAGGAAGAGCGCATGCATGCAGCAGGTTAGTGCGCGCCCGTTTGCATTTTTCAAAGTGTGCACCTCCTCTTGCCTCTGTTAATTAACAGGTATTTTAAAAATAACACCTGCTTTTTGAAGTGTGCCTTATTTTTTAAAAAATACACCTTTTTTCAACACAGCTGCAAGTTCAGGGATGCGAGAACAGGCTTCATACGAATGTGCTCTCGCTCACAGCCAGGTCATGTTTGGATTATTGGTAACTGAAATGAAATGTTCACACATCTCTGGGCACTCCGCTCCTCACATAATTTCTGCATTCCTAGTCTGGGAGCCGGAGTGGCGAAGAGCGTGGACTGGGAGGCGGGCGACCTGGGTTCTAGTCCCGCCTCAGCCATGGAGCCAACTGGGTGACTTTGGGGTGGTCACAGACTCTTGGCCCAGCCTCCCTCACAGGGTTGTTGTGCGGAGAAGATTAAGGAGAATGATAGAAGTTGCTAAATAAATCTCTAAGCAGACTCAGGTGAACTGGCTCTGCCTCATGCCTTGGAAGGAGGAGGGTCAGCTGTGGAACCTTTGGGTTCCTCCCAATTCTGGGTCATGGTGGGAAGCCCAAAGTGTGGCCCAGCTTTGGTGTGCAGCACAGGTCGGGCCCCTGCAGGCCAGAGCCAGCCCGGCCCCGCGCGGTTCCCCCATGGCCATTTTCCCCTCTTCCTGCTGACTGTTGTGCCTTCCTAGCTTTCCCTGGTGCTTCCTGGCTTGGACGAATGGTTCCTTGGTGGTCCTCCGTCCCACCCCTGCTTGGGAATAATGCAGTAGATCTTGTTGGAAGCTTGCATGTTCCAGAATCTCCCGCAGGCAATTACGGACCTTGAAGGCTAGTTTGTTTATTTAGCAAACTTATATGCCGCCCCATTCACCTAAGCCTCGAGGCGGCTTACAAATAAATAAATATAATTAATACAATAAAATACAATACAGATGGAGACATTCTGGCCAAAGTTGTTAAGATCAATAAATAGAATCAACAATTAAAATAACGTTTGAATAAAAAGGTCTTGGCCTGGCGCCGAAAAGCAAATAACTAACAAAAGCTAGTGCTTTTGTTATGGCCAAAGCCAGCCTTCACCGACCCGTTGCCCTTCAGGCACTTTGGACTTCAGCTCAGCCCCAGCCCACTCGGCCCATGATCAGGGACACTGAGGGTTGGTGTCCAAAACATCGGGGTTCGGGGATGGACGCTGGTTGGCTTTCACCAAATGGACGCCGAAGTGCTTGAAAGCACCGCTACCTAGGTGATGGCGCCCCGTCTCTGCTGCAGGGTGGAGTGAGTCCTTCACGGTGCCTGCGACTGGGTTCGGACAACACAGTTACTCAAAGATTGAGAGTGGGTGGTGGTTGGAGCATGGGTTGGTGCTGAAATGTGGGTTATCCTGCTGTCTGAGCCCAGCCATGCTAACAAACCATAGCTTGCTAACCATGAACAATTCATGAAGAGAACCATGGCTGCTTGTTGGGTTGTGAACTGTGGGTTATTCATGGTTAACAGACTGTGGTTTGTTAACGAGCCTGGATTCAGCCAACACACGAACCTGCATTTCCACAACAACCAGCACTCAGGCCAGACTCAACCTTTGAATGTGGGTCATCCTGTCACCAGAGTTCTTCGGGTTTTGCCCCCCCCCCCAACCTGGCATGTGGTTCTGAGCTGCTCCAGATTGAATTCGGTCCTTAGGCTGATGGGCTCCTTTCCCGCCCACTCTAGGCAGAGGCACTGCAGCGAATCCAGGTGGTCCGTGTCTTCGATGCCTACAGATTGCTGGATGTTTTGCAGGAGTACCGGATCAGTGTGGCCCAGCAGGTGAGAGTGGTGCGCATCATTTCTGCACACCTGACACCTCCATGATCTTCCTTGGAAGCTCAAGGTGTGACATCCCTCGCTCCAGGACAGGCTGTAGGGGTGCGCCACAGGTGGAAAAGCTGGGAAGGGACCAGAGGAGGGCGGCGCGGATGGTCCGGGGACTGGAGGCAGCCCTGTGAGGAGAGCTTGGAAGAGCTGGGCCTGTGAGCCTCGGGAAGAGAAGGCGGAGGGGCGGTGGGAAGGGGGCTGTCACAGGACGAGGGCCTCGCTCTCTCCTCGATCATCCTGGAGCGCAGGACACGGAATAGTGGGGACAAGTCCCAGGAAGCCAGATTCTGGCTGAGCATCAGGAAAAACTTCCCGACACTGAGAGCGGTACAGTTATGGGACCGGGCACTCAGGGGGTGGTGGGCACTCCCTCACCGGAGGCGTTGACGATCTAACTGGACAACCCTCGGAGAGGACTGGTTTAACTGGGAGTCCTGCGCTGAGCAGGGGTTGGACCCAGTGGCCCTCTGGCCCCTTCCAGTGCTGTGATTCTCTGAAGCTGTGCCAGGTGCTCCCCAGCTTTGGTGAGCAGTGAGTCTTTCTAAGGGGCGGCGCTCGATTGCCCCATGGCAAGAGGGCAGATGTGGGGAGACCTTTTTCAGCCTGTGGGCCGGATGAAACTCATCCAAGTGCTCAGCGCCTGTGCTCGGCTGCTGGTGCGGGGCCGAAGGCGAAGGTGGCTGGCACAGACACGCTCGACTTAGCTTAAAGCTCTTGTTTTTAACAAAACCGGAGGAGAGGCAGTTTGATTTGTTCAGAATCAGGAATGGGGGGGCATGTCTGGAAGAGAGGACTGATCCACCGGAGAACCCTAGAGTGACGGATTGGGACCCCAGATTTGCCACTTCAGTAAAGCTGTGGGGCTAATCATGCAGCTGAGATGGCCAAACTCACAACCAGCTCAGACCACCCTGCGCAAGACCCTCCCTGGTTTTGTGTCCTTGGGAGGGTACAGAACGTGCAGACTCGGGGTTGCAGGCTGCAAGGGCACGCGGTGGCCAAGCGGGATTTTGGGGTGCCTGGTGTTTTGCGAGGTCTCGAATGTCCCCAGGGGCCAGCAAGGGTGGGGGCGGCCGTGGGTGAGGCTCAGGCGGCAGAGGCGGCCTGGGAAGCCGGAGAGCAGGGTGAGCTGGAACGGGGCGCACTGCAACGGTGCCGAGGCCAGAGGTGAGGGCAGGGTCGGGCCCGCGGTGGGCCAGGCAAGGCGGCAACACAATGTGGCCCTTGCAGAAGTGGGCAGGAGAGCCCCTCGTGCCCTCAGCTGGCCAGAATGGACAGTTCTCCGTCCCGGAGCTCGACCCTGTGAGCGTCCGCGCTCATGCCGCCTGCGGGAGGCACGGGCCGAGCCGCTCCTGCCACGGAGCTCACAGCCTCATCCTCCCCGCATCACAGCCTCGCCTCTTCCATTCCCCCCCTCCCCTCCCGGCCCCCTGCTTTGCTTCTGCAGATAACGTGTGCCTCTCCGCCAGCAAAGGTGGTGCTTGTCGACTCAATCGCCGCTGTTGTCTGCCCTCTGCTGGGACGCCGGCAGCCCGACGGTAAGCCCCCCGCAGGCCTCGCCTCTCCTCCCCCTCCCGGGGACACGCAGAGGGAGCCCCGGGGGCCAGTGCCGCGAAGCAGAGCCCCAGTCATGCTTCAGGACCCACGCTGCTGGGGTGTGCGGGCCAGCCCCACGCACAGTCTGACTCCCGGGCCCACGTTCGGGGCAGCGGCCTTCCCCTGCCCTGCGTCTTCTCCCTCTGAGAAGCGGGGCGGCGGCCCCGAAACCTGGGCTCTAGTCCTCGCCTGGCCATGAAGCTCTCCAGATGTCCTTGGGCCTATCAGCCCAGGCTACCTCGCAGGGTTGTTGTAAAGATAAAATGGAGGAGGAAGGTGTCAACCGCCTGAGTTCTCGCAGGAAAAGGCATGGATTAATCCACTGATGGTTAGTCAGGCCAGTCTTAGGGGGGTTGCAGATTTGACGCAGTCCGTGTTGCTGGACTCCCACAGCACCCTCTCCCCCTCCCCACAGGCATGGCCCTCATGATGCAGGTGGCCTGGGAGCTGAAGGCCATCGCCAGAGAGTGTGGCGTCGCTGTTGTGGTAAGTGCCCGAGAGCAGCCCTTCCGTGGGTGGGCGGTGGGGGGGCGTGCAGACCGAGGCCTGTTCTGGCCCCCCTGCGGCGGGGGGGGGGCGGTGCTGGTGGCAAACGCCACCTCCTGCGTGGAGTCACGCCGCCAGCGCCTGCAGCAGCCGAGAATCGTGGCCCCTGGGCCAGCGTAGGGGTTGGACTCCCCTGAAACTTCCCACCCCTCGTCGCCACGGACGGCCTTTCCCACGTACTCTCTGGCACACACACCTTCGTCTGCTAAATCTACCACCAATGAAGCCAATCCTGCTTCAAACTGGCACCTTTCTAGCCCCATCTCCTTGCTCCTTGTGGTGATTTCGGGGTGCATGTGGCACCTGTTTGGACAGGGAAAAATTCATGCAATTTTCGGGTTTGTCTTGCCTAAATATGTGCAGCATTGTTCCTTACTGACATTGAGCCAGGTTCCTGTCCCGCCAGTGCTTCTGCCCCATTCCACCGTTGGGAACAGCTCCAGGGCAGCGCATTTTCATGCCGAGCCTTTCATGCCGCCCAAGGCCTCGGAGGGAAGCTAAAGGCACCGTCCAGAGGGGATGCCCCCCAGACGTGGCGCACAGAGGATGACGGACATGCCGTGTGGAGCAAGGGGAGCCGGGAGGCCGTCTGGACCGCCCGGCTCCATGCACCCTGCAGGCCCACTGCTTCGGTGTTCTGGGTGGCGAGAGAAGGCGGCTGGAGCACCCGTGCCCTGACTCCCTTGTGCGCCTTCCGCAGGCTGGTGCTTCTGACTGGGAGGGACCCGGCGTGGCTCTTCCAGTGTGGCCACGAGGCGGGGGAAAGAGCCCCGTGCCGAGGCCTGGCTGCAAGGAAAGCTTTTCTTGGGGGGCAATCCAAGGAGCCCTGTGCCCTCCCGATGCTGCCTGGGGGCCCTACAATTGCTCTTCCAGGTGGGGTCATTGCCACAGGCGAAATACTGAAATGCAGGTTTTAGTCGCCTTGGCATAGGCTCCTGATTTTCAATTTCAGGCCTGTCAGTGATGCAATACAGTTTCGCTCTTTTTCTGCATGTGCTCCCTCCATGACTGGTTGCTGAGAAATACTGTCAGCAAACAAAGCAATCTGACCAGCCCTGTCTCTTCTAGCTGACCAATCATGTGACCAGGGACACCAGCAATGGCTCCCTCAAACCAGCGCTGGGCCGCTCCTGGAGTTTTGTGCCCAGTACCCGGGTGCTGTTGAAGGACAGCAAAGACTCCTCTGGGAAGGTCACAGCTGGTCGGATCGCCTCTTTGGTGAAAAGTCCTCGCCAGGTAAGAATGCCTGGTGGTTGCCTTTTCCCCTGCATCTTGGTAGGCTGTGGGGCAGCAAAGTTTAGGATCTAGATCGGGGAAATACTGATGGCCTCATTCCATTCCTCACCATGTGCTGGAACTTATTTTGAGATGGAGCTGAGATAGGATAAGACGTGAAATAAAGACACCGCATACCCAAACAAAGTAACCAGATTAATTAAAAATGCAAGTCATCTGGCAGAAGTTAAAAAAACCATACAGTACAGTTTTGTGTTTGAGTCCAGCCACATCTGGACATCCGAGGTTCCCCTGCAGCAAATAATCAACTTTTTATGTTGAAACATGCAGAGGTTTATGCCTTAGGTTTTATTCTGTACAAGCCAGAGAATGAAGGTTCTCTACATACCTAGAGTGCAAACAAGTTGCATCAAAATATTTTATTTTATTACTGATTTCATTTTTATACTGCCCAACAGCCAGAAGGCTCTCTTGCATATTACTCGCGAGCGCCTGGGTGTTTCTGCTCTGAACGCTGCAGCGCAGCCTGCCACCTTTCCCGGGCACCCACCTCCTCCTCTCTGTTGCCCCGAAACCTGTTTGCTGAAATTGCATACTGGGGCGGTTCCCTCCACTGGGGACTTGCTTGGCGGCTCCTGTTAGGCCACTTCTGAGCTCTGCGGGCAAATGTGGCTTTCCGCGCCTGCCTTTTACAGGCCACTGAGACTGAGGTGGAACTGGACCTGGGGAACGGGGAACTCACGGAAAGCAGCCTGACGACATCTGGAGAGTGACCCTCGTGGAAAACGCCCATGAATGGTGTGGCCTGTTCCGTTGCTGGCTCGGCCGCTGCTTGCAGATCCAAAAGCAGAGCGAGACAGAGCGGTATGATTTTCAGGAGACGGGGAAAGCAGACCATTTGTACTGAAGACTCGTCTTCCCAGTCAGCCACGGAGCAAGGAGGGCCGCGGTGGTGACCAAGCCAGCATAAATTGCCCTGTTCCGGTCCCCGTAGGATGGGAATATTGTTTGCCGATAGGCCATTCCAACTTCCGCTTTTTATAAATGAATGCTCTTTGTCCAGACAATGAGAAACCCAAGCGGCCTCTGTATTTATTCCTAATTTTGTTGCATTCCACAGTCCTGATTCTCCTGGGCTGAATACCCTTGTCTTGCCTACTTGGAAAAGCCTCTGAGGCTGGACTTGGCAGCACCCGCCTTGGATGCTCTTTCCGGGCCGGATGCGGCCCCCAAGCTGCAAGGGCGACTTCACAGCTGGTGCTGGGAGGAACAAGGTGCTGTCATCCTGCAAGGTGGTGCTTTCAGTTCATCTTGTGAGCTGGTTGGTGGAAAACGTGCTTTCCCAATGCCTCCAGCTTTTCCTGTGGCCCTCTAGGCAGCATGTAGGGGGGGCCAGGATCCCATCCTTCGAGCATTATATTTCATAAAGAGTGATGAAGAAATATTGCAAAGAAGTAAAAGGATGCAGTTGTTCCGTAAAAGTGCTTCGGAGAGTCTTGGATTCAGGTTTGCCACAAACTTGTCCAGTGAAGCCATGAAGACGGGCTCTAATGCAGCTTTATGCCATATTCTCAAAGATGCACTTTGAACCCCATGTATGGAGGTGCCAGGCAGCAGTCTCTTGATCCGCAGCAGGTGTTGACCAGTGGCTTGGGAAGTTGCAAGTTCGGCCAACCAGTGCAGGCCTGAAGCAGCTCCACACAAGACGGTTGCCTTCAAAGTAGACATGGGAAACTTTCGCTTCAGGCACAGCCCAGCAACAAACCATGGTTAACTGCCGGGTTGTTCCCCCTTAAACAACTCAGTCTGGGGTTTGATGCCCGTGGAGGGGATGTTTGTGGGTTGCTGATAAAAAGTGCTCAGCCCATGCTCTGTGTTCTTGTTCTGTGTGAACCAGGCCTGTGTAGAAATCAGTCCAGGGTGACGACTGTATGGAGGGGCCCAAAGAGCATGTTTCTTAAATCACCTTGACGGGACTTTTTCTTGGTAGAATAGCGGGGCAAAATGACAGAAATGAATCATCCAAATAACAATCATGCTTGTTGTGGGGCAGGGCATTGTCCAGGGGTATTCTGGAAAATGCTGCTTGTGTGAATTTGTTACAGAGGGTGCATCGAAGGCGGCTTCTGTTTCCTGGGCAGAGACCGGGTTGGGCTTGGAAAGGCTTCCTAGATGCGCTTGCCTATTCAGCCCAGGCATTCCCAGCTCATAGCCCCGCTGCCTGAGGAATGCTGAGCTGTTGGGCTTTTCTCAGCCAAGTATGCATGCAGGACTTCTGTCTGTGCAAGTGTCTAGCATTGCACCTTTACCCTCTTCCCCGCAAAAGCGAATACAACGAAAGGCTATTTTATTTATTTATTTAGGAGACGTCTATGCCGCCCCATTCGCCGAAGCCTCGGGGCGGCTCACATCCATAAAAGGAACGAGGTGCTGTCATCCTGCAAGGTGGTGCTTTCAGTTCATCTTGTGAGCTGGTTGGTGTAAAACTTGCAGGCCCCATTTGGCGGAGGACAGGCGCTCCAAAATTGGGGTCTTTTGCAACGTTTGCAAAGTTTGGGGCCTTTTTCTTTTATGGCTATAAAAGAGAGAGAGCTCTGAATTCAAAATTGCAGAATCAGGTGATATATTTTACGGGTAGCGTTTCGAGGCAGCGGGACAGGACACGCGTGATGGGTTCGTGCGTCTCTCCCGCGGGCGGGATTCGAACCGGCGCGTTCCCGGGCCGCTCTGGCCGCTGGCCGGCCCCCTCTCTATGGCGCCAGGGCCCTCCGGGCGCGCGGCGGCGGCGGCGTCGCCTCCCTGTTGCCATGGCAGCCCGCGTCGCGGCCGGGCGCCGCGAGCGGGGCGGGCCGAGGGCGGGGTCGGGCGAGGGCCCGCCCACGGCCCACCGGGCGCCGTCAGTTGGAGCGCGGCCTTCGGAGGAGGAGGAGGAGGAGGAGGAAGCGCGGCGGGTGGCAGAGGCCGCGGCGGGGCCCCGCTTGGCTGAGGGGCCACGGCCGCTCGGGGGCCCGGAAGAGAAGGTCTGAGCGGGCGGGGCGCTCTGGGTTGGCGGGTGGAGGGCGGGGCTTGGTCCAGAGGGGGCCTCCGGAGGCGGGGAGCCCTGCGGCCGCACTCGCAGGGTTGTTGTGAGGCCGTGCGGGAGCGGGCCGGGCTTGGAGGAAAGGGGGCGACGCGCGTAATGAGCCCGGCGGGGGGGGGGGTGCTCCCTGCTGCTCCTCAGGAGCGGGGCCCAAGTTTGGGGGGGTGCTGAGGAGCAGAGGAAGCTCCCGAACTTCTTTGAGGGAGGGTCTGGGCGGGGGGGGGGGGGTGGGGTTTGGGGCTAGTTGGGGGGGTCCGGCGGAGCTGGGGGGGGGGGGCAGCTGTTGCACTCTGGGCAGCGCTTGGAGAGGTGGTGCCGGGGCTGGGGCGGGCGGGACTCCGTGTGCAGAAGGGGTGCAGGAGCAGCTTTGCAAGGGGGACGAGGCGGCTGTTGCTGTTGGGACGCGAGCAAGGGCTTGGGCTCGTGGGGGGTGGGGGTCTCGCCCCCGGTGGACCAGGCGCGAGGTCAAGAGGAGCGCAAGGGTGGGGGGCCGCGGGAAGAGGGGTTCTGGGGAGGCAGGATGTGGAGGGTGTCCGGTGGAGGGAGTGATGTGGGTTGGCTCGGATTGGAGCAGCTGCTGGAGCCGGATAACTTCGTGCTGTGGGCTGCAGGCGGTTTAGCCTGGGCTGGCTGGGGTGAGGAAGAGCTGGAAGGGAAACCCAAGACAGCTCCCGCCCCGTTCCCCGTTTTGCGGGTGAGCTGAGCTTTGTTGTGGGGTTGCCTTGCGGGGAGTGGGATTTTCCAGGATTACTGTCTCAGCGAAAACAAAAAAAAAACTTGGGGCATGGCTGTTCAGAGCTATGGGAAATGCTTATTGTGCGTGAATGGAGGGAGAAATCTTGTGTTAGCAGAGTTGGTGCACACCCCACACAACCACGTTCATGTTGCCAACTTTACTCTCCTGTTGGGTAGTGGGTGTAGTGTGGAACTTCGTTGAATGCTAAAATAAAGTTAGCGGTGTGTAAGGGCACTTGCTAAGGGTGCATTCCCAGGCATATTCAGGCGGATAAATGTCTTAGAACTACCAGCATTTTTTTTTCTTTCTAAAAACACGTGGGATGGTGACCTTTGTTAGATGATTTAAAATGTCTAAATACTTGCTGTGTATGAGCATTTTTGTGTGTGTGTGTGTGTGTGTAAGGGTTAGAAATGTTGTATCGAGGCCTCAACTTGGGCATGTGTAGAAGTGCCAGAATGCATCTGAAATGTTATGCACACTTGCCGGGCAGCCTGCCTCACTGAAACTGGCAGAACTTATTTCTGAGTAAACATTTGGTATTATGGATGGCATGTTGCTTGTTTTAAATTGTGTTTTTAAGTTTGCACTCCACTTTGTAACAGCTGGTAGCAAATACTTCAAAAGGAAATCCTCTTTCCACCCCAGCAGCCGATTGAGAAACAAGCTTTTACTTCTTCTAAACTGAAAGAAAGAGGATCAATAATAGTGTGCTCTAACAGGAGTGGAAACAGTGAGTCAGGCTTTAAAGGCCGCTACGGGTCCAGAGAAATGTGTGTCAGCACAAAGGTGATTCCTTTGTGTGTTCAGAAGGACTGAAAATAGCCATCCATATTGCATTGTCCTAGGCAAAGTGCAAACAGGAGCTGGATGAGTGGCTGTTTACATTGAGCGCATTCTGCTCTAGGAGAAAATCTATAGCAGTTTCAAGCTGGAGCCCTGCAAATGTCTTTGACTTCAGCTCCCATCTGCCCCAGCCATCACAGCCAATAGTTAGGAGCAGTCGGGGTTGCAGTCTAAAACATCTGGAAAGGGAGGACATCAGGTTGGAGAACACTAAGCTACGTACTTCCTGGGTTCCAGCTGAAGCCGTATCTGGCACCCAAATGGACATTCTTTCCAGTCTTATTTTATTTATTTATTTAGAAAATTTCTAGCCTCGGGGTGGCTCACAAATATATCAACTAAAATATTATACAATAAAAATATTTATTGCTCTTGTACCCTAGTGACAACGGAGTCAAGGACCTTTCTTGGTCTCTGCTTAGGTTCCTCCCATCACTCTCTGTGATGAAAAAATAGTTTGTGAAACAAAGCAAGGGTCGGCATGCAAGCAGTGGCATTGGTCCTTGTGGCTACATCCTCTCATCGTTCTGTGTCCGCTGCACTGGGAATTCCTCCCGGTGCTTTCCAGCTCCACCTGCCTCCCAAGGTTTTGTGCTGTCACTTTCCCATCGGTCCCAACCGGCACGACCACTGGGTAGGGATTATTGGAATTATGCTCCAAACCATTCTGCTTTTGGGAGGGCTGCATTCATCTGTTCTTGAGGTGTGTGAGGGCATATGTGAGCGGCAAAGATGTTCTGCATCCGGATAAACGCATTTGCAGTTTGTGGCTAAGCTAATGTGCAGCTTTCCCTTGGCATTAGCCATGTTTTCATTTAATATGTGTTGAAGTGCTCCTGGTGTGAACTTTCATTCTAAGTGGCATTTAAATTGTTCACCCCTTTCCAAACCCTGGCTTCACAGAGAGCCATGGTCTCTGAGCCGCAGCCTCCTTTCTCGGAGTATGCCCAAGGCAGCTTCTCTTTTCCTGACAGTTTGAACTTTACTAGCTTCAGAACATTTCAACAGACACGGGCTTTGGCCTCGCAGTGTTGAGTTATACAACTCCTTCCTTCCGCCTTCCTTGTGCTCCTGGGTAATGCAAATAAGGAACAAGAGGAAATGGTTCTTGGGTTTCAGCATTCTCCTTAGCTGGTTGTGAACTGGAAAATATGGTGTTTGTTTACTTGGGGCTGGCTGCAGCAGCCTAGAGGGCAGCGATGCCCTGCCAAGCGCCAGCAAAGGTGAGAATTTCTTCTTGAAACCATCCAGACCATTTGCTTGTGGACTTCACTGGGGATGTGGCTCATGCGGAGTGAATGGGAGACGCAGGAATGTATGACGCTGCTTATACTGAATCAGCCCTTTGGTCCACCCAACCCCGTCTTGTCAGCATGGGCTGGCACTAACTGCTTTCCAGGGTTTCAGGACGGGTGTTTCCCCAGGGATTATCCAGGGGCTTTCTCAGTCACAGCCCCCATCGTAGGAGTGCCGTCAATCTACATGATTAGCACCCGGCTCCTGATAGCAGTTAGATCTGTATTGCGAAGTGCAATACAGGCCATATCCTCTATGGCCTGTATTGCGAAGTGCGTTGTGTGTCCATAGAGGATTGCACAGCTTTTGTGAGGGGAAACCGGCCAAGGAGTCTGGCTGTGTCCGTAATGGCTGTGCTGTCAAAGTCTGCTGCCTCTGGGGCCACACGAGCCAATGGGCTTTCTGTAAGACCTTCATGCTGCAGTAGAGAGCGCAGCCCCTCCGAAGTTGTCCTTGAGCTTTGATCTGGCATCTCCGAAGCACAGCACTGGGAAGCATTCCAGAACAGCGCTGGCATCTTTGGAGGGATGGTATAACAACTGTTTGACTACAACTGTTTGACTACAACAGCATTGTAGTCTGGTTGGTACCTAATACTTTCCCATGGTTTACTAAACTCATGGTTAACTCATGGGTTGGCCAGTAGATGATCAACAGACTGTGGTTGTTTGGTTGTTTTCTCAGCCCCTGGGTTGTTTCCTCTCTTTGTGCCCATTCTGTATCTCAAACGTCTTCATGGTGCTATAGTACTGGTGAGTGTCAGGGCTGTCCGGACAGGAGACTTTGTAGGTCATTCAGTCATAGGATCGCCGTAAGTTGAAGCCAATGTGATGATATCTAACAACAGCAGTGTGGCGTGCTGGATATTTTTACTTACTGCCTTTGTAGCCTGGAAAAACAATACATGGATAACTCACAGTTCTTGTCACAATAACCCAGAGTTCAAAATGTGTAACAACCTATGGCTTCTCATCCTGGATTGTTTGTGGTTAACAAAGCATGATTTCTTAGCATGGCTCTGTCATTACAACCCAAAATTTAACAACCCATAGGTTAAGTAAACCATAGGCTACCATTATGTACAAAGCAGGCCAGTGTCTTACCATCTGGAACTTGTCTGCTGCTTCAAAACTTACCTGGCCTTGTAGATGCCAAACTAAGGTATTATTGAGATGAGACTTGCTGAGCTGGGACAATGCCAGATGCTACACTCCTAAAAAGAAATTGATGTTGGGTTAATTCCAAAAACCTTTTCCCCTTAAAGTGGTTATGTACACATTTGAAATATATCTGGACCGTGAAGATGAGAATGGTGGAAAGAGGTGTGTCTGGGGGCCAGTGAGTGAGCAGGAAGCAGCTTCAGGAGTGAAAAAGGTGAATTAAGAAAAAAACAGGCAGATCACTGGTAGGCATTCCTTGACTGGGGTGGCCATGTCTGCTGTCTGTGCTACGCCTCCCCCCATCCTCTTGATGTTGTGCTCTGTGGACAGTGGCTCTCCTCCCGTGTGCTCTTCTGTTCCCGTGGGCTCTTTGGTCTCCAGTGGCTGTGGCCGAGCTGGAGTGCAGGAGAGGCAAGACTCCTGACGCAGCACCCACCAGTCCATCCGGTTGCCTCTCTGCCAACCTCGGGGTCACAGCTAAAGCCCTGGAGGTGAGTCAGACCAGTGGTCCGTTTGCTGTTGTGCGGCTGCTTCCAGGTGCTTCCTGGTGATGCCTCATGTGAGCCCGCCTGGAGCTTCAGGGCGCCTTGGACACCCAGTGTGAGGTGTGCGGACTCCATGCGGCTGTTTCCTGCTTGGAGGAAGCGTCTGAGTGCGTGCTTTTCACGATAACCCTGGGGCCAGCGGCAGGGACGACTGCAGATGTCGTCTGCGATAAGTGCGCAATCGTAATTAACGCGACAGATGGGTGGGTGCCTGAGAAGCGCCTGTGCCTTGGTGCCGTTTGTGTGTCCAAGAACACCTTGGTTGTTTTTGACTGGCACATTCTGAAGGGAGCCGTCTCCCATTGCGGCAGCAGGTGTGCAAATGACTGTTTATCTTTTGGCGAGTGGCACAGACCGCTTGGAAAACAGGGTTGTGTGTCATGCCGATGTTTTGAATGGAACGTTCCTTCACGGTGCCTTCGAAATGGACTGTCTTGCTAAGGTAGTGCAAAGTATTTGGAGCCGATAACTGGACAGATGTGTATTTTATTCAAAGCACTTTTATCCCACCCCTCAGCTCAAAAGGCTGCTGTGCCAGCTTACACATCAAACAAGACAATACCTGCCCACAGGCTTATCCTCTACAAAGTCACAACTTGCAAGGAAAAAATGAATGGGAGGGCGGAGGAAAATGTGGAACTGCTTCCCACCCTGTGGCTTTCAGGAGGACATGTAGGACGGCTCCATTTCTTAGTCATTGCTGTTAACAGCTTGTAGACAGTTGTGTGCCCAGAGTTCATGGGGCACTACTTTAGGAGCAGCCTGGCTGGATCAGACTAGAGTCTGGCACCCTGCTCTGTGCCCTGGCAAGCAAATGCCTCCAGGGGCTTGAAGGCATCTGCCCTTTCCTGCAGTCCAGGTTCAGAGGTTGTCAGGGATGTGTTGCACTGCTGCTCACCCAGTCAGCATGGGATTTACATGTGAAACCGGTGTGGCCCTTAACTTGGCCCCTCTTTTTCCTGAAGGGTGAAGCAGGGCTCTCTGGGGAGCAGTGGTCGCTTCCCGCCAGCCACGTCCTCCTGTCTCTCGATGGGAAAGCGCTTTAAACATTAGCCCTCGCGGCTGCCCCGTACCACCCCATCTGACGCAGTAGCCCATTCTGCAAAATGGCTTGCTCCAGATCATTTGGGCTACAACTCCCACTAGCCCGAGCCAGCATGGGCACCAAGCTGGAGAAGGACTGCTATTTTCCCAAGGCAGGAGGCCCCCGCCGGGTGAGTTAACCGACCTGGAATTTACAGTTTATACAGAAGCCAGCGAGGCACACTCCTTTCCCCCAGCGTGCCCTCCCTTTTACGGCCAGTTGTTCTTCTGTCCCACAGGTCTGTTTCGTATCCACTGGCATAAACTGGAGCCTTTGTTTGCCCTGCAGGACCTGCTTGGCATAGAGCGAAAGCTGTGGTGGAGGTGTCAGATGAGGGACGTGGGCTCGTGTGACCGCAGGCTGCCATGTGCCAGTGCGTGGGAGCAGCAGAAGTGGCTTGTGGGTGTCCCAGGCTCCCACTGGACTGGAGGTCCCTTTGCACAGGGTCAGCTTCTCAGGCTGCCAGCAGCTCTCCAAGGAGGGAAGCAGGGTAGTGTTTTCCGAGCCGTGATACTGAAAAGCTCTGGAGGACTGAGCTCAGGGGCTTCTTGGACCCTGGGGAGTGAACTGGGCCCATTGAGCTGAATTCTCTTACTCAGCAGATGGAGAGAAATGCCCCCCCCCCAGGCTGCTAGAACCCAAAGACAAATCCTGTGTAAGCGGCCAGTGGGAGATTCAGCTTGGATTGAAGGAAGTGCTCCTGTACGTGCTGCATAGTGGAACTCACTCCTATGAGTGTTGTGATGGCCACCTATTTGGACAGCTTTACCAGGGGACGAGGCACATTTATGGAGATTAAGCCATCAGTGGCTACTAGGCCTGCTGGCCACAGGCTTTCTGCAAAGGTGGTGCTTCCCGTTGCTGGGGAACCCGCCCCGGAAGGTGCTAATTGTGGGCTTCCCGCAGGCAGCTGGTTGGCTTGTCTGTGACCAGAATGCTGGACTGGATCATCCTCCAGTCTGGTCCATCCCAGACTGGCTCTGCTTGTATTCCTATGTTCTTAATGAAAGTGCAAAGAGCAGAAGCAGCTCTGATGCATGAAAGGCTTCCAGCTGATGTGGCAATAATGCCTGCCAGGGCAGGAAGTGTTGTGAGCATGGGGATGTGAACCAGCTTCTTGGTTCCATGTTGGTTTGCAGGTGTCATTAGGCTCCTGCAGGTTGGTTGTAATGTGTTGCTTATAGCAGCTTTTACCACACCGTTGTTTTCACTGAAATGGCTTGTAACTCTTTTTTAACAAACATGCATGGAGGAACCCGATGTTTTGGTCAAATAGCTTTAGTGCATTTGGAAAGCCTTCAGGTCATGCTCCAACTGTGGCAGATTTGGGATGTTGCTAAGGAACAGCAGGGCTGGATCCATGAAATATGGCTCCTTGTGGCAGGGGGTGCTTGTACAAGTCCCCATTGCAAAGAAATTAGTGCGATATGGACCGTAAATCATATTACTTTTCCAGCGTCGAGAAGCTCCCTTTTTCCTTCACATAAGCTTTGCCCTTTTCTCTCGTCTGTGTTGGGGAATTCATCGGTCACCCCTGCCGAAGTCTTCCTCCAACTATGATACTTTCAAAGCAACGGGGAAAAGTATTCTGAAAGTTGAAAAGTCTTTCCCTTTGGAGGTTAGTGAAGGGCGGTGGTTCTGCGTGGGGCTGAGCTAAGGAGGCTGACCTGCCACTCTGCATTGCTCGCTCGGACCACAAACACCGATGGCTCCAAGTTCCAGCTGGATGTGGCTCGTGCTCTGAAATGGCAGAAGCAAGTGGCACAGCCTTGGATTCAGGCCGCAGATAAGATGCAGAAACGTAAACAACACACACCACTCTGCTGCATTCATTTCTGGTAGCAAGTGCTAAATGGCTGAGCTGCAGGCCTTTGCGTGCACTTGCGCCCTTTCTCTGCCCCCTTGTCTTGGTGGCACGCCGGCCCCATGACGCACAGGCTAGCCAGGAAGGCGCCGTGTGCATGCGCTTCCTGCGCTCCGCTGTGAAGCAACCCCAGCCCCTGGCTGTTGCGTTCACAAAATCGCCTCACCTTGAGTTGGATCAGGGCCCCTCGACAGCTTGGCCTGCGAGCACGTGCGGCTGCTCCCTCTCCGGTTCCCTGCTGAAATAACCTGGATGGCACCTTGTGCCAGGAGAGGAGCTAGCTCAGCCTTCCCCAGGTTGTGCCATCTAGGAATGATGGGAATTGCAGTCCGGCACATAAGGAGAGCATGCAGCTGGGAAAGGCTCACCTAGGCCAGGGCTTGTAAGGACTTCTGGGAACATCAGCCCCCCCCCCCCGCAAATCTGGAGAACCACCTTCTGCCAGTACCCATGTGTTGCACAAGGAAAGAGGCCAGAAGGAGGGTGCTAGGAATGCATGTGGTCTTGATTTCCTCCGGGACTGGGGGCCGAGCGGCACTAACTTTGGCCACTTGCATCAGATGCTGCCCCCTCCACCTCAAGGAAAAGAGTTGCAGAGCGCCCAGCCCGCCAGTTCTGTTGCTCCTAGTCGTATCTCAGAGACCTTTTTCTGCGAGAGCAGTTTGTGCTGCTTCCTTGCAGAAGGAAATTGAAGGGTGTTTGGAGGTGGGTGGGCAGTGGGCCTGGCTACGTGGTCAGGAGGAACTGCGCCTTGCCTCTGGTGCGTAGCTGACTACTGGGATGAGTCAACCGAGGAGGAATCAGCCGAACCTCTGTGAAGCAACCTGGGTTTTCCTTAACTTCTTGGGCTTCTGTGCAGGGCCCGTATGGGTTGATCTTCCTGCCATTTCTGGCTTCCCACCAGCTTCCTGTGCCGTGTGGCACAAATCATTTGGTGTTTGTACAGTGTGTTTTCCCTACTGCAAGTATTTCCTGATTCAGACTAGCGGCAGAGCAGATGAGCAGCAGTGCCTTGAACTTTCCCCTTCGCGTCACTCAGGCACAAAGCTTGCTGGGTAAACGGCGGGCCAGGGACCACTGCTCAGCCGAACTTCTTGTTGGGAACCTCAAATGGAAAAGAGGATCGTGCCAGCCACCTTAGGTTCCACGCAGGGAGAAAAGGTGGGTTATGATTGTCCAGAACATAAATTAATAGTGGAAGTGGAGCACGCCCATTTTCGGGAGCATGCATCTCTCCGATTGCCCCTACGGTGCTGTTGCCGGCAGCGTGTGGTTGTTCAGATGCAGCTTTTGGAATGGAAACGAAAGTGGTGGAGTATTGAAAAGCAGATGGCGAGCCCAGAAATGGCTCAGAGGTGGGTGGAAAGCAGCACCTGGAGGGGAGGCAGATTGGGCGTAGCCGGACATGTCCAAAATAGGGTCTGGTCGAGGCTGCAGGCACAGGTGCCTCCCCTGAGGAGCTGGGCGGTTTGTTCAGTCTAGGTAACGCTCAAGAGAACAGCCAGGAACATGGGCAGCAGCAGGGGCTGAGGTAGTCAGTGGGGGAGGCTTCAGAAGCACAAGACGGTGGTCGTGATGCTGGTGGCGGTGGTGGGAGGCTTTGGAGGAAGAGGGCGGCGCTTGTGGTGGCACGATGGGGGAGAGGCACTCGACAGAACCACCCTCTTCCCTCGTCGCACGGGCAGGAAGCGTCCGGGCTCCCTCCCCCCATGAGAACACGGGCTCTGCCGTGGAGTGACGTCGTGCGCATGTCGGCGGTGCCATGGTACCAGAGCCCCCCTCCGCCCGTGCGCCTGAAGGCAGGCATGCAGCAGCCAGGGCCTGGCCTCTCCGGTGCAGCACTTGCTTTGCTGGCAGGAGGGCCCAGTGTGATCCCCAGTGCCCCCAGGTGGGGCTGGAGCAGCTCCGGAGAGCACCTGCTGCTGCTCTGCATCAGCCACTCGGGGCCGCTGCCTCCTGTTGCCCTCGGGGATATCGGCTGAGCCTACACGGTGCTGCAGTTTATCCACTCCCTCCTCCAGCAGAGCCGGAGGACGCAGCCTCAGCCCTCCACAGACTGCAGCGTCTTTCCGGCTAACCCTTTGCGAGCAGGCCTGGGTAGCTGCCTGGACGGTCGCCTCTTCCCACTGGAGTGAGGGGGTGCTTGGGAGGAGGAGGCAGGCCTGTTTGGGCCTCTCTGGACCTTCCTTGCCCAAAGGGGGGAGGGAACCCCAAAGCACCCCCAGTGTCAGAATTCAGCAGGATAACTCGAGTGCCTTGCTTTTAAAAATTCCATAATCGCAAGGGTAGAATGCTTGGTGCTTTTCCTCTAGCCCAGTGGTAGCAATTTGTAGCCCTAAGTTTTGACTTGCAGCTTCCGTGAGCCTTAGCTGGTATAGCGAATGTGTGAATGATTTCTTTATTTTTGTCTCAGAGCAGGCAGAATGCTCGTGGGAATTCCTTGCCACAGGAAGTAGTGATGGCCACCAGTTTGGGCGGCTTTAAAAGGGATGGGACACATTCATGGAGGAGAAGGCTCTCCCTGGCTACTGATGCTGCTGGCTTTCAGCGTTGGGTCAGGGTTAGGGGTTGCCCGCCGAGGCATCTGACTGGACTGGATGGTCCCTCGGTCCAGCCCAGACTTGCTCTTTTTCTATTCTTATGTTCATAAGTTAAGCACAAAGAGCGGGTGTGGTGAATTAAGAACAATAGATGAGAAACGGGGGTTTTGAAAGGAGGAAAACATATTTTTTTTCCTTACATGAAATGAAGTTTTTTTCAAGTCCTGTAAGATGAATCGTTCCTTAAGCAGACCAGTCCCAGATCTCAGGAAGATCATCTCGGGGAAGGTCCTCAGGAGAGGGAGAATCAGTCTGCCTGAAATCTCCGTGCAAATCACAGGACCGGAGTGCATGACCAGTGGGCAGCATGGCTGTAAATAAGGGACTGCAGTCCAGCATAGTCCGAGGGCACCAGATTGGAGGAGGCAGCTTGATCACGGCTTTTAAGGCAAGGGCTCAAATCAGCGGTTTCTCATGCTTCAACTCCTCTTCTCCTACCCCAAGAAAAAAGCAGCAAGAAAATGTAGAAGGTGAAATGTGCAAACGAAACGGGGGGAGAAGAGACTGTGAAACAGGGTGAGAAAGGATACGGAGGAAGGGACAAGGACGCTGCTAGCGCGTTGTGCTTGTGTTTGCTGAATCACAACACGTGCAGGAGTGCAAGGCAGGGCAGAGGCCCGGCTGTGCCTGCAGGGGTTGCCTGGTTTGATCCTGGGCACCTGCTGCCGGTAGAACGAGCAAGTCCTCTTGCATTAAACCCCGGGGAGCCACTGCTGCCAGCCAGTGTTGGCGATACGGGTACCAAGCCAGCCTGTGTAAAGGCCGCCACTGGCCGAAAGCGCTACCGGCTGGCAAGAGCCTCCAGAGGTTGGTGAAGCGCTCCGTCCACCGAGCCTTCTCTGTTGCGCGAATGAGGTGGCATGAGCCCCCCCCATGCACTGCCTTGCTCTCGGTGGCATACGCAACGCAGTGAACGGAGGGAGTCTGCATAGCCCTGAAGAGCGAGGGGGAGGTGGCTGTAAAGCCTGCCTCTTGCCCTGGGGGCCAAAACGGAGCCCGGCGGGGCTGTGCAGCAGAGGCAGCCCTTCCTCAGCGAAGCGCCTGGGGCATCACGTCAGGCTGGAAATGCAGGGCGCTGGACTCGGTTTCTTCGCGCAGCCTGTAAACGGAGACCCCTTTGGAGCACCCTGGCCCTCCTCTGGGGCCCGCTCTCCGCCCCGGAATACCAGCCTGGCCGGGTCCTGTGCTGCCGTCCCCGCGCTGGTCAGGTGGGGAGCCTGCCGGGCGCGCAGTCTGTGATCACAGGTGACCGGCGGTGGCAGTCCTGCACACACCTGCCGCTGGGCAGCTGGGCAGGTGGCGGTCTGGCAGCCCCCCTGCCGGTGGGGTCCCGTGGGCAGCTGGTGTGCCGCCGTGCTCAGGGCGCGCTGGACTGGCTGGGGCACGGGTCCGTTCCGTTCTCACGCTCTTGAAGGGTCGTGAGGCGGCCAGCTGCTTCTGCCCTCTTGACTGACCCCAGCTTTCTTTTTTTCCCCTTCGCCAGTTATCATGTGGGCAGCATGCTGCAACTGGTTCTGCCTGAACGGGCAACCTGAGGAGATTCAGCATCGCCCGCAGCCGGGCACGCGAGCCTATGCCAACGCCGGCTACAGCTCCTTCCCGTCTCCCACGGGCTCTGAGCAGAGCTGCAAAGCCTGCGGGGCCCGTTTCGGCAGCGCCTCCCTCAAGGTGAGTGGCGAGCGCCATCCTGGCTCGGCCCAAGGGAGCTGACGCGTCGGAATGGGGCTGGCCTCCTTTCTGCACAGGCAGCTCTGTGCAAACGCCATCTGGGCTGGGGGCGAGGGATCTAGGTGGAGTGGTCAGTTGTGCGTTGCCCTTCGATGACCCCGCAGTGCCGCTGCAGAGCGAGAGGATGGCAGTCTCCCCGCCCTGCCTGGGAGCTTCCTGGAGGCAACTGCTGGCTGCTTGGAGGGGGTGGCGGGGTGCCGGCTCGCTTGGAATGAAGCACGAGGGCAGCTCTTAAAATGCCACAGATGCAGTGACTGAGGGGTGGGTGGCTGGATGCGTGCCCCCCAGCCCACGGTGTCCTCTGGACTGTCCAGACGCCATCAAGGAAGCCCCCAGGTCGAGCAGGACAGCACCGAGGCTGGAGAGCAGAACTGCAGCCTGGCGGGCACCAGCCAGCTGCTGTGAGTTTCAGTGGGGCTCGCGCACAGGACAGCCCGTGCCCTGCCCCCCGTCCCTGTGGTGCTGGTCGCCCTACGTGAGGAGGAGCAGGGTGGGCGCCGCGCTCCCTGTGGCCGCTGCCTCCAAGGGCAGCCCACCTGGATCTCGGCCGTAGAACGCCAGGGCCACCTGGGCGCTAGTGGAAGGCGGAGGCACCTTTGCTGCTCGTGTCTGGAGGAGGCCCGGCGGGGGGCAGGCCACCTTTGCCACTGGGAGAGTGCTGCTGCTGGCGAGAGCACTGCTGTCCTGGTCTTGGCCACAGAAAGCAAGAGGAAGAAGGCAGCAGTCCCATCCCTCTTGCTTACTGTCTGAAACATGACACAAAAGGAAAAGGATTGGGAGGGAGGGAGGAGGGAGAAAGCAAAGCTAAACCACCACCTCTTCGTATAGGAGGTCCTTCTGGCAGGGAGGAGCAGAGCAATCTCCCCGCATGGGGCTGTGTTGGCCCCCCTCGCAGTGATCTGGCCCATGAACGAATCCCAACCGGGCGCTTCCCAGCTGTGCTCGTGTCACGTCACCCCTCACTCCAGGTGGATCGTGCCTTGTTGGTCAGCCTTGTCCCTCGCACTTCCATTTGGAATGGCACCCCAGTCCCTTGCCTGAACGGGCTGTCTTGGGAAAGGTTGCCTTCGCATCGGAGCGTGTTAGCTGGCAGAGTGGAGCCCCGTAACCGTGGGCGCCCGTGTGGCCAGGGCGGGAGCCCATGTGCAGACGTGCCCCCAGCGCAAGCAGCATCCAGCAGGCTGTCCGTGAGAGCCAAGGCTGCAGTCGGGGCGCTTCTGCAGCAAGAGAGAACCCCCGGGCCGTTCCCTCCCGCCGTGTGCCTTTCCCTTGCAAAGGAGGCGGTGGTGGCACTGCCCTTTCCCTGCAGCCTGGCTTCCCTCACTCACCGTGCCTCGCTCTCCGGTGCTCGAGCGTGCTGCGGCCGGGCGAGCGAGGCAGGTGGGCAGCGTCCATTGCCCGAGGGAGGCTGCTCCCAGCTGTCGTTCGCCCTGGGAAGGAGGGGGCAGGCGTCCAAGCGCTCCGTCGTGGTCTCTGCATCACACAGGGGGCCCTGTTGTCGGACAGAGGGGCTTCCTCGCTGGGAGCTTTGGCGGGAGCCCCACCCCCTTCCCAGCAGCCCGTGCTCAGGCCAAAGGGGGCGACGGGAGCGTGGGGGCAGGTGCAGGGCCCCAGAGGCCCATGTGCACACTTGCTTGCCCCAGGGCCACAGGCAGCCTGCCCCTCAGGGCAGTTTCTGGGAAGCGGCGGGAGGGAGAGGCATGGCCTTTGTGCCAGAGCACCAAGGAAGCTGTCCTGTGCCGACCCCAGCCTGGCACTGGCAGCCCTCTCCAGGGCGCCAGGCTGGCTTCTCTTCCGCCCTGCCAGGAGATGCCCTTCCTGCTCCCTGGCCTGATCCAGCCAGAAGACGTAGGCTTGCATTCCCCAGAGGTATGACGTCTGCTCCTGAGCTGCCGGGGGCCGGGGGAAGGTTGAGGTCAGATGGAAGCGACGTGCAGAAAACACAGACAGAGCCTTCTCCAGATGAGTGTCCAGATGCCTTGGGTGACCTGCTCGAGGCACCCGGTATGTTTTGGATTCTGGCGAGGCATCGCGTGTTCAGGCTGTGCTTCGTTTGGACCCAGCCCGGAGGCGGATGTGGGCCAGAGACCCTCTACAGGGGTGGTGCTGAGGAGCTGCCGTTCACCTGCTTTTAAAAAATCAAGCGAGGGTGCAGTCGTTGACCTGTTCAGACAGCAAAACGGGCCTACCATTCCCAGCATGCCCTGGGGCAAGTGGGTAAGAGGGCCCCTTGAGCTCAGGAGAGGCAGGGTGCCTGGCAGGCACGAAGGGTGTGTGAGGGGGCCAGAGGCACGGCACCACGGGCCCCGGGTCTGGGCGGCCATGGCCGAGCTCCGTCGCGGTGGTGGGAGCGCTTTGTCCTCCTCCTGACCCCCCTGCCTGCCCCCACCCCCGAGCAGCGCATCTGCTTGGACTGCAAGAAGGACTTCTGCCCGGCGTGCGCGCACCAGCCCGAGAGCGGCCCCTGCCTCTGCCACCTCTGCGAGCGCTTCCGCGCCACGGCCTTCCGGCGGGAGGAGCTGATCAAGATGAAGGTGAAAGAGCTGCGGGACTACCTGGAGCTGCGGGAGATCTCCACCGAGCTGTGCCGCGAGAAGGACGAGCTGGTGTGCCTCATCATGGGCCAGCGGCCTGCCGGGGCCCAAGCGGAGCAGCCCCCCTGTGTTCCTCCCGTGACACCCGTCCCCTCTGCCCCGGAGAGCTGTTTCCCTGCGACGGCCTCGCTCGGCCCCTTCCTGGAGCAGGCCCCGGCAGAGCCCGCCTCGCCGACGGCACAGCAGCCGCAGGTATTTGGCCCCGCTCCCCTCCGGGGCCTGGCTGGGCCCCTCACTTGCAAGCGGATTTGCTGCTAGGGGCACGGAGCTCTTTCTTCCCAGGGGCTGCCTTCCCTTTCCGAGGCTCCCAGGACTGTGGTTCAGGGAAGCGGGGCGGGGGCGGAACCCCAGGCAGTGCCCACCCGGTTTGGCTTCCTGCCCTCAGGCTCTTCCCTGATCATGTTGACCTTTCAGAATGGGAAGGAAGCAAAGTGCCCCCAGTGCGCCAGGTTCAATGGGGAGCAGCCCCCGCAGGTTCCCGAAGGGCTGGGCGAAACCCTGGCGAGGTTTTGTGGCTCTGCCACAGCGCAGACACCACCGAGGCCCAGTTCACTGTCCTGGCACCTTCATGGCTGACGAGGCTCGCGGACAGTCCTGGCCTCGTCGGGTGCGTTCAGCCCTCCCCGCGGCTGGCACCCCACAGAGGGCTTGGGCAGCTGCTCCCAGCCTTCCTGGCCACTGGGAGCGCAGCGCTAGACAGAGCGGTGGGGCTGAGCACACCCCAGGCTCCCCCGGGAGGGCCCTTGGGGCGGATGCGAGGCGCTGCCATCGTGGCCCGCCTCCCAGCGGGGCGTCAGCAGCTCGGCTGGCGAAGGGCGCCTGGCAGGCTGCGCTGGCTGCCCCGCAGCGCGCGAGGCGGCACGTGCTCTCGGCGGCCGACACTGGGGCAACGCAAGGCCGGCCCTCGCCCGGCTCTCCTGACAGTTCTGCTTTGTTCCCACACTGGCACTGGCAGCAGTGCTGTGGGGGCAGCCGTGCCCGTCCCCCACGCCCTGCACTGCCAGGATAAACGGCAGCCCCTTCCCCCCAGGGGGCGGGGGCCACCAGCAGCATGGAGGCAGCGGCTTTCGTGAGGAAGGGGCTGCCCCTCTCCGGCCCCACGGGGCTCTGGCCGTTTGTGGTGCCCGGGTGTCATTCCGTCCCAGCTCCACTGCCGGGCATCCCGGGCAGGGCCGAGCCCTGCAAGAAGGGTTGTGCCTTCCCTCCATCTGTGAGGAAACATGGAGCTGTCGAGGGTTCAGAGATCACAGGTCTGCTTGTGAGGCACCACGTCCGGGAGGGGAGCCCCAGAGCTCACGGGGTCCTGGTCTGCCGAAGGCCCCGGCGCCCAGCTGCAGGCATGACTGATGCCCCGTGGTGCGCAGCCCCGTGGTGGGGCAGCGGCTGGATGCTCTTCCAAGGGGCCGCAACTCCGTAGGAAAAGGGCTGGTGCCAGGCTTCTCTGAGCAGGGCTGGAAACGTTCTGGAGCGCCGCCGCCGCCGCCAGCCCACGCGGACAAGGCTGGGTTAGATGGGCTCGGAGCTGACTGCCAGTGTTTCCCATTTAAATCCATCCGGGTCAGAATCACGAGGACTGGCCACTTATTTATGTCTAGGAGAGCCAGATGCTGCCGCGGGGTGTTGATGGTGCCGGCCCACCTCGCTCTAGGGGAGCTTCCAGCGCTCCTCTGCCCAGCAGGTACCCCCATGGCAGCCCTTCCCTGAACGATGCCCCCGCTCCCGTGTGGTGCCTTGTCCGGGCACTTCGGCCTGCGGTCTCCCGGCCTCTCGCCCACCCATCCTTCGGTGTCGGGCTGGGAAGCGCACGCCTCCTCCCCGGGATGGGCGTGCTCCTGGGCCGGCAGCACAGCATGTCACAAAAAGCAGGGCCCGCCTCACGTGCCCCGTGACGTCGCGCTGGGTCACAATGGAGGGCAGCGGAGTGGGCCGGGCCGGGGCACACAGCGCCGTCTCTCGGCGGCCCTCTGCAGCTCAATCATGGCTGGCCCAGGGCCTCGCTGCCCAAGCCCAGGCGGTCCTCGGCGGCTCCACCAGCAGTGAGGTGAGGGTGCCCGCGGCCCGTCCCGGGGCCCCGCTGCCACCCGCTTTCCCTGGCTGCCCCACAAGAGTCCTCCAGCCTCCTCCTGCTCTCCTGGGAGGAACGGCGGGACTCAGCGGCGTTTCTTCCTCCTAGGCAAATGGGCACGTGCCCCCGAGCCAACAGGACATGGCGGAGGTCGAGAATGCGGTGGAGACGCTGGTCGAGGAGGAGACGCAGGTAGGGCGTTCCGTGGCTTGCGGGGGGCTTCCTCCCGCGGACTCATGCCTGCTGTTTGGACTATGCCCAGTCCTGGGCAGGGGGGTGCTCACAAAATACGCAACACACCCATGCATGAGTACGTCCCATAATGTGGCATCTTTAGATTTTTGACTGGACGTAACAAGGGGGCCGTGTCCTCCCCCCACAGCCCCCCACCAGGGGATCCCCGTTGCCTGAACTCTCATGCAGTGCTGGCCTTCGTCCCCGGGGCCTGGCCCGCGGCTGGAGCACCATTTCACTCCCGCCACCGTGCGTCTGGAGCCGCTCCGGCCACGGTGAGTGGGGTTGGGCTTCAGCCTTGTCTGTCGTCTTTCCTGAATGCTGCTGGCCGACCCTCCCCAGAACAAAGCCGGCCAGCCCAGAACCTGCACTTCGCCGGAGCCTGACTCCGAGGAGAGCAAATTGGCAGGCCGCCCGTGCTGCGGTGGGGCCCAGGCTGAAAAGGTACCGCAGGCGGAGAGTAGGCCGCTGCCGCCGGGGGCTGAGGCGGCCCGGGAGCCTCACGCCCTCGCCAGGGGGCACTTTGTGACGCCCCGGGTGGCTAGCGCAGCCGTGGCTACGTTGCAAGAGGCACGCCCCAAGGGAGCGTGGCACAGGGAGGTCTTGTCATAGATCCCCCCACCCCCAGACAGTGGGGGCAGGTTGAGAGGGGCGGCCGCAGCCTCGTCTCAAGGTAGCTTTGCCATTCTGGCAGCCTGCGTAGCCCTGAATGATGAGGGGCGAAGACATCACTGACGTCTTCAGGGGATGCCTCCCTGGTGGTTCTGTGCGGCCTGGCTGGGGCCCACCAGGGGAGCTTCGGGGGATGCCCCCCCTTCCCGAGCTCGCCACTTCTGGAGGAAAGGCAGGTACCTGCTCTTGGCCGCTGCTGAGGCGCTCTTTGTGCCTTGCTGACCAGCTAGCTGCCTTTGTAACGGGACCCTCTTTCAGGCGTGTGTGTGTGTTTCTTGTACCTGTCTCACCGCCTCTGCTTTCCGCTGTGGAGCAGCTACAAGTTCCGTGGATGGATGATGGGATTTATAATCTGCACCGCTGGAGGGCTCCAAGGCGGGGCGGGGGGGGGTGGACGGGGACGTAGGCTGGGTTGTGGCACTGCTGCTTCAGCCCCTGGATGTGCTCTCCCGCAGTCCACTGACTCTGAGGACACCCTGGTGGCCGGACGGAGGGCCTCCCTGTCTGACCTGACGAGCGCGAGCGACATCGACGGCCTCTCGGTGAGGCAGCTGAAGGAGATCCTGGCACGGAACTTTGTCAACTACAAAGGCTGTTGCGAGAAGTGGGAGCTGATGGAGAGGGTGACCCGCCTGTACAAGGAGAAGGACCTCCAGCAGCTGGGTGCGTGGCCTGAGAGCACCCCAGGGCGACGCTGGGCTTTGCCTTGGTGTGCCGACGTTTCACAAATGGGTAGCCAGAGGGCCTCTCTGGCCTTGGAGGCGGCCACGGGGCACGGGGAAGCAGCAGCATGTGGGGTGCACGGGGGCTGAGCTGTGGGGCTCTGCAGGCCCAGGTCATCCCGGCCAGGAGCGCCACAGGGGCGTGGGGCCATCCGTGATTTTCTCCCTCCACAGTCTCCATCGCAAGCTGCCTCCCTTTCCCGCTGAGCAATTTCCCCGCCTTTTCACTCTGCCTCCCGAGAGCTGGAGTTGCAGGGTGCAGGGCTGGGAGCGTGACCAGGGGCCTGTGGATGGATCTTGGGCCTCGCTACAAAAGATCTCACTTGCGTACTTCTCCTTTTCTCTTTCAGTTTCGGACACAGATGATCAAACTGGTACGTGGTGCCTCATGATTGCAATAGAGTCCTGGGGAGTTACTCTGTTGGGGGAACTTTCTGTGCACGCACCTTACTTTTGCTTCTGGAAAGCTAGCGGCTGCACATCTGCACAGATCAGTGCTGTTCCCCACATTCCTATAGCAGGTTGCCTGCAAGTGCTCCCATTCAAGGAGATAATCCATCCCACTTCCCACCCTCTGCCAGCCCCCTCTACAACGGGGGCAAAAGGCAGTTGACAAAACACCCATCTTTTGCCCGCACAGCCAGAACCCGGGTTGCCCTTTCGGGTCCCCAGGTGGCCTTGCCTCCTTTCTCCCCGTCCCCCCGGGGCTGTTTTCCTGTCTCCTCCCGAGTCCAGGAGGCTCAGGGACCTCTTCAGGCTCCTGTTTCTGGGCCTTGTATCTTTCTCTGGTTGCGCCCCACCCCCAGAGTGCACCTCCCAGGAGCTTCTCCGAAACTGACCCTGCCCCTCGGGCTGAAAGCAGCCCTGCCCCCCGTGCCTGCACGGCCGGGCTTTCCAGTTTAGTCGGGGCTGGTGCAGAGCCTCTTGGCAAGAGCTCGTTCTGCTCGATGGTTTCGCGAAAGGCGGCTGTGGCCCCTTGGGATTCTTCCCTCCCGGTTGCTGGTGCGTAAAAGCGGCTTCAGCCGCTTCCCTGGGCAGAAAGGCTGGCAGAGGCCAGAGCCCAGGTCCTGGTGGAGGCGGGCAGGTCTACTGCCGGTCGGAAGTGGGGTGGAGCCCGGGTGCAGGAGGTCCCGGCCCCATGGGCTGACTCACCCCGGCAAAAAGGAGGGGTCTCTACCCCTGCGTTGTGGGGAGGCCCTGAGGGAGCTGGGGGGGGGGCGCGGCACCGCCCGCCGGCCCCGGGGCAGGGGATGTGTCCGCAGGGCCTGCAGGGGGCACGGGGAGGTGTCCGTTCCTGGGAATGGCCCCTGCTCAAAGCCCCCTCTCGCCACCCCAGCTCTGGCGGGGGGCGCCGCCACACTCCCCGGCTCGGAGGAGAATCTCTGCAAGATCTGCATGGACGCGGCCATCGACTGCGTCTTGCTGGAGTGCGGCCACATGGTCACCTGCACCAAGTGCGGCATGCGCATGAGCGAGTGCCCCATCTGCCGCCAGTACGTGATCAGGGCCGTGCACGTCTTCAGGACTTAGAGGCGCCCGGCACGGAGCAGGTACTACTCCGCGGAGACTCTTCCACCGCGCCGCGGCTCCCTGGCCGCCCTTGCGAAGGAGCCCCGGATGCCGGGCAGTGTGCGGGACGCAGGACAGAGCTGTGGTGGACCCGGCGGGGCGCCGGCCGTGCACTTGGCAACTGCAGCGCCTGGGGCGTGGGAGGCCTCGCCCCACCGCCTCGGTCTGCCCCGCTCGCACCGGGGCTGCCGGGCACGCTCTCCCCCTCTGCAGTGAATAAACCAGGTGGTCCTCAGAGGAGGGGGGTGTTGCCGCTCTCAGTTCCCCACCTTTCTCTTCCTCTTGAACTTCCTGAGGCCTTCAGCAGGGTCTTCGATTTGGAAAGCAAACCCGGGGACTCGTTCCAGAGGAAGGAGTTTGAGCCAAATTTCCTTCATGAACTGGTTGATGAGCTAGCCAGCCTCCCAGTTCAGGTCGCAGTTCACCCGTTCCCGTCTGCAGCTTGCACATGGGGTACAGCCGGCCCCGCGGCATGTTCCGCAGAGTGGCGCCCACCACCAGTGCCGGGGGGCAGGGGGGCAGGCAGGAGATTTGCCCCGTGAAGGAGGACTCCAGTGGGTGAGCGAGCGCCTGCGGCTTGTGGGAGCTGCCGCAGCTTCTGAGGATTGGTCCGCCTTGCCCTTTCCTGTCGAGGGCCCCGCACCCCGTTTCCACTGCAACCTGCCTGGGCGGCTCACTGCGTGGACAGCAAGGGCAGCCCCCATTCTGATGCACGGCTCTCCGCTACGTGGCTGACGCACGTCCGTTGCCCTGCACTGAGCATCCGGGGGTGGCGGGGGAGCCGGCCCCTTCTCGGCCGCTTCCAGCTCTGCATCCAAGGATTCCGTGAAAGTGCCTCTGTACAAGCCTGCCTACCATGCACGACGCTCTGCTCTTCTCATGATGTTCGGGTCACCCGGCTGCAGTGTCGGGGGCAGGGTTTCGGAGGCCTGGCCAGCCTGTGGCTCCTTGGAAGGGGGCTGTTCCCTGTCCTGTGAGTGAGAGCCTGCCTCCCGTTGGTCGCGGCAGAGTCGCTCACCAGCCCCTCAGAGGCCGTGCCGTGCCGTGCGGGCAGCCGCTGTGCCCGTGGGCCCCGCCGGGGGCGCACGATTCCAAAGCCTTAGGCGCCACCACGCTTCCCTTTCAGCGACTTTCTGCACAGCCGGGCCTTGGCGCTCAAGTGGCGCTCGTGGCCTGGCTCAGCTGAATGGCTGCCTTGTTCTCTAAGTGACCAAATGCCTCACGCTGCTTAAGGGGGCGTTAACCTGCCTTAAATGTGTGAGTGGCGCGCGCGCATGTGTGTGTGTGTGTGGTGTGAAGTGAGGCAAGTTTCAGGGCTCTGGCAACTGGGGGTGCAGGTGTGGGCAGGGCCCACTCCTCTCCCCTTCAGTTCCCCAGCCCTTTGCCGGAACTGGTATGCTTTCTGTTGAGTTTTCCAAAGGGATACGCCAGCCTGGTGGCGCATGGGGGACGCTTGGAGGCGCACGTTTGTGTGCGTGCCGATCGCATCCTTGTACTGTGGGCATGTTGCAGCCCCAGACGCCTGACCGGGAGTTGCTCTGACATGGGGAACACTCAGCCCGTTCCCAGGCGGCATCTGTTCCGGCTTGCCGGCTGTCCTTGCCATTTGTGCCCCTTGGCATCTGCCTCTTCTCCCTGCACGCGCCTCTGCAGCTGGCTTTTGTGGATGGTGCAAGTGCTCCTCTTGGGGACGATCCCAAGGCAGACACCTCCTGTAATTGACTGCTGCCTTATTACTCACACACTGGAAGCGTCACTCCAACCCGTACAAAAGAAGTCACATCTCAGCCACAAGCCATAACAGAGTAACAAACATCTATTTAAAAACAGATTTTGAGAGTGTTCTTTCAGTTCAGGGCAACAACTGGGAATCTTACTGGAGTCCCTCCCCTTTGCTCCTTTATCTTTCTCCTCCCCTTCTGGGGCTGAAGGATGTTCACAAAACCCACTGTGGTGCTGGACACTTCAGTGGCAGGGAGCGTGTGGCCCACCCTTGGCCGGCGGCCTTCCCCGCCAGCGTGCTGTGGAGTCTGGGAGTGGTGGTCTGGCACACCTGTAGGCGCACCCTGTTGTGGAGACCTTTGCGATGGGAAACCAGCAAGGAAGTTATGGTCAAGTCCATACTTAATTGTAGCTTGAAGAACCTTCTAGTGACGTACTCCTGCATGAGGGAGAGTTGGCAGCAAGAAGTGCAGGACAGGCATGAGGGTAGGTAGTTGGTAACTGCATTAGGAAAATGCCCCGATCTGCCCGTGATCGGTTAAGTGCGCAGTTACTCTTACACAGACGTGCCTCATTGCCTGCAACAGACTCTAGGAAGCTAAGCTGGCACTAGAGCGAGAGAGGCTGTGCCGTGCGCGCACAGGACTCCTCCTCCGGTCGCCAGCAGTTCACGTAGGTACGTGCTGTCTCTGTAACAGATCGCGAGGCGAGAGTGTTGCGTGGCGTTAGTCACGGTACCTCTTCCTCCTCCCGCCCCAGCTTGATTACACAGTTGGGCATTCTCCATGCCTCTGACCAGAAGATAATCTGGCGGAGCAGTGCTGGTTCCCAACCGGTAAGAAGTGGTTGTTGGTGTTGCACTAAAGCTGTGGATTGTGTTCTTAAGAAAGCGTATTTTTGTATAGCAACGTGTGCCTCTCTGTGCAGCATGGAAGTAAAGGCCATCTGTGAGGCAACGGTCCTGTTCAACAGGTCTCACTGGCACAGAGCCCTGCTTTATAATTTTATAATAAAACGGAAATGTGTTTTAAAAATGGCTCCTGTCCTCGTTGTGTTCCCTCTCGGCGGTTTTTGCCACAGTGTATCTGGTGCTCTTTCAAACTCGCTGATTTAATACTCTTCAGATCTGCACTCCTTCCAGCTTCCCTACCTAGACGAAGCGAGAATGGAGAACTCCCAGAAAAGCAAGAGCTTGCTCTTTTTTTTTTTTGCCTATGACTGGGCAAAGGCAGAGAGGATGGACTTCAGGCCTGAGGTCTCATCCAGCCCCTTCCTCTGATCTCCCCCATTCCCTGGCCTTTGAGCTGCCCCCCCCCCTTCTGAAAGGTTGAAATCGCTCTCCTGAGGCTTGGGGGCCTGGTTATAAGAGCACTGTGCTATGTGGATATTTTGGGCTCCACAGACGTCTGGAACGTGCCCCCACTCCTCCAGGATGTCGCCAAAACTAAGCATGTCATGAGCAGAGCCAGCTGGAGCTGGGGGTCAGACTAGATGGTCCAGGAGGCTCCCCCGACTCACTCTAAGTTTGGCCCTTGGGGTTAAGAGGGTACCTGCTCTGGGAAGCCTGCGGCTTGGGTCTGTGGTGGTGTTGCTGGAGAAGGGAGACAAGCGCTTCTGCTCCTCAAGGCTACTCGAATTAGGACAAGACAAAAGCTGGCACCCCACTGAAGCGCAGGGTATCCGGAGGGCGCTGCGCAGGCCAAGGCCGCTGTCTGCATGCTTGACACGCCGTGCCCACTTTCCCTGCCCCACCCATCTTCCTGCCTCGCACCAGATCGGCCGAGATCTCATCTCGCCCATCTCAGGCACGCAAACTGAAGCTGGCTGCTGGTCTTGCGTACGGCCCTGAAACAGAGGCAGCTCCGTCTTCGGTTCCTGCTGCGATGGCTTTTTGCCCTGGAGATGGAAAGCAGCATGGACCGTGCCATAATGGCACGATTGGGAGAATGTGGGGTTAGCCCCTCCTGGAGCTGAGATTTATCTGCAGTGGTGGGCCTCTTACCCGGTGCACAGAACTAATGGAAAGCTGCACAGCTGCTCTGAGCAAGGCAATTCTGTGTTTCAGAAGCACCTGAATACAGGCAAGTGGTAATCATCTGATGGAGCCAGGCATTAAAGGTCTTTTCTATGAGCCAAATGCAAAAAGGTTGATTTAAATGCTAGACCGGCTTATTTTGACAGGCTACAGGCGCCTGGTAATCGGGAACGGCTCAGGGTTCAAGCGATGAGCTGCAGGGCACTTGCTTCCTGAGCACCTGGCACTTGATACGTGCTCTGGAGCAGCCCAGACATCATGCCGGGAGGTGGGTTTTGCAAGCGTATTGTCCCTATTTATTAAAACATGAACAGCAGCGCAATCTAGCAGTGGTGCAATTAAGTTAATCTTCATGTCAGTTCACTGATTCCCATATGGGTCGTTCATAGGTATGAATTTCATTCCAGAGATGTTGATTTCTCCAAAAAATACGTGGTCCACACGGTCTTGGATGCTACTGAGACTAGTTAAGAAGAGCCGAGCGGTATCCTGGGCCCGTGCACTAGGCCATGTATGACCTAGGGAGGGGCGACCAGCCTCCGTTTCCGAATGCACTCCCAGATCCAGTCGGGGGAGACCTGCTTGGCCATGAGGTTCTCTTCCACATCCCCCATCACGTGTGTTGCGGAGGCAGTATCAAATTCTTGGACCAGGTCTCCGTCGTAGGCTATGAAGTACCGCCTAATTTTGCTGAAGCCCTCCACTGAAGGAGGCAGATACAGCTTCACCCCAGTGAATATGTCCAGCAGCATCTGTTGTTGGACAAACAGCAGAAAAACAAGGGAACGATAGGGATGTGAGGTTTTGCTTGCTTGTGAGATGCCCTGAAAAGGAGGAAAGGTTTAAGGGGCTCACATTAAGAGGGCAAAAGCCCCTGGTCTGGTTCACAGGTAACTGTAGTTGTGGTTGTGATTTTTTGAAATCGTGGCTTGTCATTGTCTCCAAGTCCCTCCATGCAACAAGACACAGAGACCATATGAAACCAGGTCTGTCTAGACGTGGGCTTTTTGTGTCTTAACCCAGAACCATGGTTTCTTTGTGCAGCTGGAGCAGCCCAGCAAAAGCAGCCAGAAGGTCAGAAGCAAAGGGGGAAAGAGGAACAAACCAGGATGAAAGAAAACAAGCCACTGTTCTGTTGGCTAGTCTGCAACACTATTCATGGCTAAAGCCACAAACTCGGATGACTACATCCGTTGCAGCCCTTACAGAGCAGGGAAAATGAGTGCACCATTCTGCATCCAGCTGAAATGCGATAATGGGGGACATTCTCAACAGAGGAGTCAAAAGGACATTTTTTTAAGGAGGAAGAAAGAGCAAGGAAGTGTCAAAAGCATAGGTGTATGTTTGCCCAGAGACTACTAGAATTTAAGGATGCAGTTCTACGCATATTGAAACAGCATAAAGTTTCTCTGGAAATGTTCGCTCTTTCGCTTGGGGCACACTGGGACTTGGTCGATAAATATGTAGGATAAAGAAAACCAGCAGCAAAGAAAACAGCCACACTTGAGACAGGATGAATGTCTGTACTTTAAAATGTTCTGTCCCTCAAAGTGGTTGATAACACCCCGCACATACTTGGGCAGTTTCTTAAAGTCTTCCAGCAGATTCCCCACCAGGCCAGTTCCGGGCAGCTCAGGAAGGAAGAATGGTGCTCTCAGGTAGGTTAAATGAGTTTATGGCACACGGTGCGGAAGAGAACTGGTCCAGCCAGCTTTTCCAGGTGACAAGTAAGACTAAGACAACCTGTTTGTTCCACGTGAGTCTTTTAATAGCTGCTTGCCGTGCTGGCACGCTGGAGACCGGGCTAGCGCTTGAATGCAGCCTGCCGCCCTCAGTGCCTGCCTCTGCACGAGAAAGTTACCTGCCCGCTATTGCTCGGATCTGCCACCTCTGCAAGAAAAACAGCCACTGCACTGAGGAGCTAGCCGCATCCAGTCCAGCACACTGCTGGATCAGGCCAAAGGCCTCTCTGGCACAGCCCTTGCGCGAGGGCCAGGCTGGCCAGGAAAGGCTGATCTAGTTCTACATTCCGCTTCCAGAAGCCGGACTCCTTCGCTCCACCGCGTCAGGCAACCTGAGCGAGACTGCCTTCTGAGTGAGCAGTTCCACTGGGTTTTCATGGCCAGACACCGCTGAACTGCCTCCCCTCCAAGGAGCTGCCAGAGGGAGAGTGTGTCCGTGACGCACGCTTCCCCAGCAAGATACTTCCATGTGTTGGTCTAAGGCAAAAGCAGGTGTTCCTCATGCTTGTGCTAGGGTGTATTTAATAAACACTAATTGTTTATTAACTAAAACAACTAACATTTATATGCCACTGGGCATGCTTGGACATCTCTAAGCAGTTCTTAGACTACAATATCCATCTGCCAAAAGCCAAAGATTATAGGGGACGTAATCTAAGGATCACACAAGGCTGCCCAGCCTTCTTCTAGCATCTCCACCCTAGTTTTTTAAAAACCCTACAAATCAGACTGCAAGATCTGATGACGCCTACAAAAGTAATGTTTGTGCACAGATGCCCAACATGGAAACAAGGGAGTTTTGTTCTCAGACTCTGCAGTATTTTGCAAGATCTGGGGCTGTCTCTTACCTTTCGCTTGTCTTCCTCCAGCTCAGCTGCTTTCCTCTTCTCTCCTCGCTTCTCCTCTGCTTTCTTCAGTGGGAATCTTTCAGCTGGTTTGCTGGCTAAAAAGATCTCAGCTTCAGTGATTTAGGATGCGCAGGGAGAAAAGGGTTGCTTTTGTAAACAACAATGGGCAACAAAAATGGTCGGAGCCAATCCCAGTCAAGAGGTTTGGCAAGAAAAAATGCTTTAAAATACTAAATAAAATATTTAATAGCACAATCCAATGTAGCAATTCCCAACTCTCCAAAGCTAGAGGATCACGGATGTCCTGCGCAGAGCAGAAGGCAGGCAGAAGCGAAGGCTCACAAGTGCTTCTCCATCCTGCAGAACTCGCAAGACGATTCCTCTGCATGCTGGGAGAGCCGGTCACTTGTAAAACCCCACCCACATGGGGATTTCTGCCCCCCTCCCCCCCCCCAGCGCTGGCCCCAGGTGCCCCTCCTGCCACCTCACCTTCAGGCTTCTTGGCCTTTGCAGGTGACTTGCTCGGGGGTCCCTTTGCAGCCTTGTGTGGGGTGGGCGGCCCACCCTGCCCCTCGTTCTCCCCACTGCTGCTGGGGGTGGAAGCGTCGTCCTCCGTGGCCGCCACGATCAAGTCGGACCGCTCTTTGGACAGCTGGTACAGCTTCTGCTCCCAGAGAAATTCCGGCTGAAATGGCCTCGCAGCCAGTGGGAGCACCCAGCCCTTCCTTCCTCGTGGCCCCTGTCCAGGGATGCAAGGGGCCACCCTCTGCCATGGTCCCCGGAGTGCTTGTCCCCGTCCTGGCACGCTTCAGACTACAGTTCCCATCATTCCTGGCCAGTCAACCTGGCAACAAGCAGTTCTCAGAGGGCTGGGGATCATCCAGCACCCACAACCAGGCGCCTGCCGGGTGCTCTGGACTACCACCACCACAATCCCTGGCTACTGACTCTGCTTGGGGCTTATGGGAGCTGTGGCTCAAAACCGGCTAGGCTGCTTGTCTATCTTTGCCACCCAAGGCAAGCCAAGCGGCAGCAGATTCTTGGGGGAGAGCGGCACACTTCATTTGCTGCCCCGAGCAGTCTTCTCTCCCCCACTCCATGTGTGGGTCCTGGGTTTCCAAATTGTACTTTCACTGGGGCTGCTGTTAAGCACTGACGGGGTTTATCCGGCCCATTTATCTCCTGCTAAACATTTGAAAGATCCCTAACAGCTGAGCATGGGCTGTTGTCGAGATGTGCATCATCACGCCGCCTGAATGCAACCGAGAGACACACTCTCGGGTCACAAGTTGTGGGCTCCCTTCATGGGTTAGGATAAAGAGCCACAAAGCAGGAGAACTGGAAGGGGCTGGTGAGGCCATTAGGGCGACCTGCCTGCTCAAGGCAGGCCTCCACGTTCAGGCATTCCCGACGGATGGCTGTCCAGCCAGGAGAAGGGCCACACGCCCGTTCCCTGCTCCGGAAGCCCCTTTCTGCTGGAAGCGAGGAGCGGGTGATGCCCGCTGCAACCAGGATGCCAGAAGTGGCCAACTCACCCTGAGCTGTGGGAGGGTGGTGGCCGTTGTCCAGTCTTTGTCGTCTCGGATGCGCGTGCAGCGGGGGAAGCGGATGGAGATCCCGTCGGCGGTGTGGGCCTCTGCTTTGGAGAACTCGGCACCTGTGATCTCCCACACTGGCGCAGCCTAAGGAAAGGTTCAGCCAGCTCAGTGCGAGCCAGTTGCTGAATGCCAGGTGGTCAGACTGGCGGAGTCCTGAAGCTGGAATGGGATTTGGTGTTTTGGCAACCCCGGCCGCCGTTTTTGTGCCTCTCAAACGTTTTAGAGAAAGCTTCTAGTCCTCATGGCTACAAGGATGAGCTTGGAAGTCGATGCACATCAGTTAAACCGGGCGCTGGTGCTTTGGATTGTTTAGCACACAAATCCAGCCTCACTCTGCAGGCTTTCCCCCTGCTCCAGATCTTCCCGTGTGGACGTCTCCTACTGGCAGGGTCAGAAGATCTGAGAGGGGCCGCGGAGCCGTGTGGGGCTCCTTGAAGACAGCTCAGCAGCTGCAGCTTGTGCAAACTGGCGACCAGACGGTTAGCAATCCTGGCCTGCCTGCGCCACATGCCTGGATGCTTCCCAGCCCAATTCAAGGCGCCAGGCTCAGGACTGCCCACAAAAACCTGCCACCCGCCGTGCGAGCACCGCCTGAGGCCCTTTGCAGGAAGCCTGGAAGCCAGCAAGAGGAAGAGGGCCTTCCGGCGGTGGCCCCCAGCCGTGCAGTGCGCTTCCAGGGAGGCACGCCTGCTGCCAACAGTGCCCTCTCTCAGATGTCGGCTCCGGATTTTCGTTCACGCTCAAGTATTACACGGAATTTTAGCAGGCCTTGGGATTTTTGTTGGCTTTGAAGTGGTTTGTATTTCTGCATGTGACTTGTCTGTATTCTATTACATTCTTTTTTAATGGTTTTTATCTTAGCAAACCACCCAGAGGGCTCTGGCTATGGTGGACAATACAGAAAATTAACCAATGAATGAAGAAGCACAAGCGTGTATGGATTAAGCTGCGCTAGGGCCTGCTCAGGAAAGACCTGCTCCAGTTCCACGTCTGCTTCGCTTCAGCATCCCGCAGCAGCAGGGACGCCCAGACTGCATATGGCACCCCCCGCCCCCACCCCATGGGAGAGCCCGGTGCTAGTCCCAGCAGCTTCGCGGCAGAGGTATTCCTCCTGCACACCTGGTGGCTTACCTTTGGGTCTGGAACAATGAAGTCTGGGTAGTAATTCTTGTTTATCTTAAGCCATCCTGGAATTTTACTGGGATCCTAGGAAGGAGGCAGAGAGCTACTGTCAGGGCAGGCTGGCGGCATGGCATCTCTGTTGCGTACCCCGGACTACCGAGCAGTCGCTCAAGCCAGAACTGGTCCCAAAACACCCGAGGACCTGTGGGGGGACAGCCTGCTGCCCTCGAGCAGCCAAGCGTCTCAGCCCTTTGGCCAGGCCCGAAGGCCCCTTCGCAGCGCTGGGGATCCGGGGCAGCCACAGCCTTCAGGGGTCTGAACCAGTGGCCTTCCGAGAGCTGGGCAGGGGCCCCAGCCACTCACCTGGCCAGGGCCAGCCTTCAATCAGGGCCAGCCAACGCAGCACTGGGCACAACCTCCACAGTCCCCAACCCCTGGCGTTGATGATTTTTACATAAATCTTATACTATTGTATTGCATATATACTGCCTAAATATATATTCCTGTGGCTTTACTTTTATATGCCACTGTAAGAAGACTGTATTCTTCAAGGTGACTGAAGAATAATTTCAAGTAGGCACCTTTCCCAACCGCAGCTCTGATCAACTTGTTTCCTCCACCTTCACGCAAAGTTTGGTGGGGGCAGAAACCAGCGGGAAGGTCCCGCAGCGGCACCCCCTTGGCTGCAGGATGACACCCCAGGCAGCTCACCAGGTTCTCCTCCTCTCCATCTGATCCTCACACCAAACCCCGCCCAGTGGTCCTCGCCTGGAGTCCGTCGACTGAGGTACCACATGGTTTGGCCCCCAGAGCTGCGCTTGATTCCTCGCAAGAGGAAAACAGCAGGGTATGGATGTGACCCTCAGCAGGAAACAGCGAGGCCCACTCCTGCACTCACTCAGAGCGGATGCCGTGTGGGCATGCGCTCCTGCCTGTAATGCTGCTGCAATGCATTATTTATTATGTGACACAATGGTTAAAAAGCCCTTGAGGAATAAATAAATACATAAATAGCAACCCCTCGTGCTAAGAAGGGAGAGGACCGGGCAGCTCTGGAAGCAAAGGGAGGGGCGAGCCTCTGGTTCGAGTCCCCACTTGGCCAGGAGGCGCGCAGGGCGACCTTGGAACTGCTTCTGTATCAGCCTAACCTACCTTGCAGGGTTGCTGTGAGGACTAAAAGGAAAGGAGGAGAATCATGCATGCTGCCTTGGGCTCCTTGGAGGGAAAAAAGGAAGGACAAATAAAATGAGCACCCCATCCCGTATGTGTTTAGAGAGAAAAATCCTACAACTCCCAGCAGGCTCCCTGGCTCGCCATGGAGTGTGGAAAGCTGTAAGGTTTCAGGGCAGTTTCTGGCCGAGTCACACGCGACGGAGCCTCAAGTGACCGATCTGCTGCTGATCTCCTCACCTTGCTGATTTTCACCATGTCCAGTTCCTTCTGCAGCCGGGCGAGGGTGGCGTCGTCGTGCCCCCCAGAGCATTTGGTCACGGTGCACCACCTCTGGCTGTCGGGATCATAGCAGCCCATGAGAAAGATGGACATCATCCCGCCTGGAGGGGGAACAGAGAGGTTTGCGGCTCTTGAGAATTTTCTACCAGATGTGTCATGCCGTCTGTCTAGATTGGCCTTTCCAAACCTGGTGCCCACTGAGGGTTCGAGAGGAACACCCATCAGCCCCAGCCAGCGGTCAGCAAAGTTGCAAAGGGTCTCCCGACCTTTGCAACTGGCAGACCCCAGGTTGGGGAACTCTGCCCCAGGGGAATTAGCAGGCGGGCTTCCTCCAGGGAGGTCCAGGCCCTGTACACTGCCCCCTCTGCTCTGCTTTCCCCCCCGCAACCACCCTAGGGGGGAGGGCCAAGGCTACCCCCGAGGACCCTTTGCTCTGACGATCCCCACAGGCATTTCTGCAGGTGGGCCACCCTCTTCACGCCCCACCCACACGCTGCCTCCCTCGGCTGCTTGCGCGTGCCACGGCCCTGTGCCAGCCTTTCAGACACCTCCGGCCTCCATCAGGCAGGCAGGCCTGGCAGAAACGGCAGCCTCGTGGGGCTGCGGGGGAACTGACACATGCCACCCCCAGGAAGAGCTGTTATCACCTGCCCGGGCCAAACAGCTCCTTCCCAGCCATCTCGCTTAGGCGAGCTCATGGGCAGAACACAAAAGGTTCGACACTTTCCGGTGGGACTGGGTGAGACCCCTGCGTGAAATCCCGGGGACTCCCTGCCATCGGGAGCAGGGAGGGAGCTCTTCTCAGCCAGAGGGCTGATTTCCACGTAGGGAAGCGCTCAGAGGCCCTATTCCGCTGGTGAGTGGGGCCCAAGCCACAATGATGGTGATCCAGAAATGTAAAGAATTCTGCATCACGCAGCTTAAACCAATGTTCATCAGTAACAGAGCTTCAGAAGAGGTATTCTGAGTGTGGAAATCGTCATTATGGGGGACTGCAATTTCCCTGAGCCAAGCATGGCCCCTTTAAGAGATTCCTGGCAGGTGTTGCTGAGAACGTCCTCCGGCAGAAAGGAGGAGGAGGAATGAGAGGTGCAGCTTTACTCAACCTGATCCTAAGCAACGGGGAAGACCTTGTGGACCAAGTGGCAGCTACAGGAACTCTGGGGGAACGTGACTGTGCCTCACCAGAATTCTCAATCATGAGGGAAACTAAAACTGAATGTAGCCAAATGTGTACCCTGGATCTTTAAAAAGCCAACCTTAACAAATTCATGGTAGGCAAAGGCCCATGGCAAGCTGCTCTCACCTGGGATACGGCGACTGCCGAGGTTCCGAATCGATACCCAGAGAGCCCTCCAGTGACCGGCGTGTTACTTCCAGAGACTCACCTTTGCTGCCTTGCCCATAGAATGCCCCCAACACCACCAGGTCGGCCGTGTCGGCCATTGCTCCCTCGTTCAGGTAATCTTTTTTCACTTTGAGCCAGTGGCGTTTTCCTGGCTCGTAGGTGCTCTGTGCAAACAAACAGGGAGGAGGAGAGAAGCATCAAAAAGGGTGTCAGTCCAGCTTCCTCTGCCTGCAGCACGGCGTGTCCACAGCCAGGCAGCCCCATGAAAACAAAACCAAAGGTCCTCCAGCTGCCAGTCCCGATGCTTCATGCACACGCACACACAAAGGGCACGGCCAGGGCTTGCTACCGTGCTGCGGCAGGAGGGGTGGGTGCGGCCAGAATCGCTAGCTGATTTTTTTCCATTTCCACAGCCATGTGGAGCAAGCGAGCACCTCAAAAAAAAACAACAGAAACCTGCTTGCCTTTATGTCTTTCAGCACCAAACCCTCCAGCCCTTCACGGATGACCCGGTTGATCATATCGGCGAGGTCTGAAGCTTTCTGAAAGAGAGAGGAGATCACCAGGTTAGCAACAGAAGGGCCGAGATTCAGGTCCAGCCGAGGATTTCATCTGCGGCAGCCCGAGGAAGGTTCACAGAGTGCAAATAAATGGGTTTCTATGGGCCACGGGGGAACAGCGTCACTTCCCCAGACCAGAAACTTCCATTTCGTCTCGACCCGGCTGCACTGCCGGGTCAGCCAGGAATCCCAGACGGGGGGCTCTGGGTTGCATGGAAGGCTGTTGGAGGCGCCTTCCGCACAGCCCACTGCGGACACACACGTGTGCCCTGCGGCCCGAGCATCGGGGCTGACACGGCTGAGGGCCCACCCCCCAGTGGGGGCCATGGAGAGAAGCCAAGGTGCTCCCCCCGCAACCTGCTTCTTCAGTCCGTCTCGCTCTGCCTCAAACAACAGACCCGCTGAGACGGAAGGGCGGCAGGTGCTGCGGTGACCGTGGTGCGAGGAGAGGCTGAGGAGCAGGGGCAGCCGGGCGCAGTGGGAGCACAATGGGCGGGAAGAGGCCCTCAGCAGCGTGGGGCCCACACTGCCCCATGGGTTCGGTAAACCGGGCAGGCGAACACCGATGCCTGGGACTCACCGCTCGGGCCTCGTGTCCAGCTGCAAGCAGCTCTCCAGGGCCGCAGCGGAGAGAAAGGCCCGTCCCCAAAGCTTTTTGCTCCTTTCGGCTGGAGACCCAGGACCGTCGGCAGCAAAGCAGACACGCCCCCAGAGGCCTTATTCTGAGCCCAATGAGGGGTCTCGCTGGCAGAGGGTCAGCAGCAGCCCACCCACCCTTTCCCCAGCTCTGCCATGCAAGATGCCCCTCTTAACAGGGGATGCCAGGAACTTCGCCCCCCTCCCTGGCCCCTCCTGTCCTGCTGCTTCTCCATCGACCGGCGGCTAAGCACGGCTGAGCTTACGCTGGGCAGGCCAGCCCGGATGCGGGGCCTGGGAGCCGCACCCTCGCCCCGCTCTGTCACCACGGCAGGAGGACACGGCCACCCCAACAGCCCCAAGCACATCCTTCCGTGGGGGGGGGGGGGCAAGGGCGTGCAGCCCTCCACCCGGACAGCGGCCAGCTCCTCTGAGCCACCCCGGAGCCGGCCGAACATGGCACCCACCGTGACGTGCTTCATCTCGGAGAAGAGGATCCGGTTCGGGATTTCCACCATGTTGTCGTGGAGGAACTTGCGGCGCTCACAGAGAGGCCTAGGGAAAGGGACAGAGAGTGGGGGGGGGGGGGGGAGAACCCCTGAGCGGGCTCCTGAGGCAGCTCTGCCCTGTGGAGAAGCTGCAAGGCCGTCCTCCGTGCCTCGGTGCCCTCCCTGCAGTCTGACACATCGGAAGGGAGGGAGGGAGGGAGGGGCCGGGCAAGGCTGCCCCCAGAGGCTTCCTGGGGCCTCCGTGCCCTGCCATTCCCTTTCCCACCCAGGCTCGGAATCCATGCGATGCGGCCTGGGATGCAGCGACCGCCCAGGCCTGGCCTGCCCAGTCGTGGCAAGTGTTGAACAGGCGGTGTCGGGCGGGCCACCTCGTGCCGATGCAACACCCCGCGCCCCTCCGCTAGCTCCGATCCGCAAAACTGCTCTAATCCCATCGAGCCGCCCCCTCTGGTCAGACCGGACAAAGGGGGCATTCCGTTGCATCACGCGGCCTCTTTCGGGAGAGCGAGCCTGCCCAGGGTGGGGTTTGCCCCCTTCCCTTCTGCCGCTTCCTGTGCCCCACCCGGAGCCGAAACACGCTGTTTGAGCGGACTCTGGGTCTCGCCCAGAGCTTGGCCTGCCCATCTCCACCCCGCCTGGCCCTCGCCATGTATTCTACTCGACTCTGTGCTGGGCAGACCTCACCCTGAGCACCAGGTTTTGGACACGTGTTGAGGAGTCGGATAAAATGGAATGAGTTCAGAGAAGGGCAGCGGAGATGATCTGGAGACTAGAACGGCCACAGGAAGAAGGATGGAAGGCAATGGGGACACTGCCCCGAGAAGACTCAACCGCCTCAACGGAAGCCATGCTGAGCAGGGCCGCAGCCAGACGACTGCCAGACAGGGAATGCCAGGCCCGAGTTCCAGGAAGGCAGCACGGGAGACGTTTGCTGGGGCTGAGCGCAGCCGAGTAAGGGAGCTCCCTCGGGGGGAAGGGGCGCACCTCTGCCCGCAGAGGCACTCCAGCAGTGGGCAGCCGTCCCCCGGCCGCTGGACGCAAGGCCTGCACCGAGCAGGGAAGGACACCGCAGCCCCTCCGGCTCGAGGGATCCAGGGTTCTTGGAGCGTCTGGGGCCTCGGTCAGGCTGGGCTTTGCCGGCAGCGCTCCTCCTGCTCGGTGTGAACGTACAGGTCCAGGCCACGGGGACCTCGCAGCTCCTTGCCGGGCTGGGGAAGGATGCCGCCGTGGCTTGCGACCCCCACATTCTCAGTGCTCCGCCTGGCACCCTGCGGGGCAGGCGGACACACGTGCACACGCACGGCAGCGCCCCCACCTGTCCATCAGGCTGACGTCGTTGAAGTAGATGCAGTCAAAGACGAAGAGGCAGACATTGGCGTCCTGGAAGGCGGCTTTCTGCAAGGGGACACACGGAAGCCACTGCACTCGGTGCTCGGCAACGGGAAAGCGGGGTGGGCTCTCCGTGGGGATGAGCGAGGAGTCGAGCTGCGGGGCAGAGCCTGGCCCCAGTGAAAAACCCAAGCACATGAGCAGAGCCTCAGGTCCGGGGTCAAACCCAGCCCTGCAAAGGGTCCCCGACCCCCGTCGGCCGATCGCCAGCTGGTTGGAGGTCTCCAGGCTGCTGAGCACATTTTGTTTAAAGGCCGAGCTGCTTCACCAAAGGCTGAGCTACCGGCAAACAAACCTGAATGAGACCTAATGGATGGCGGCATTTGGCGGTTTGGGCCCCCAAGAGCCTCTCAGAAGTGCAATCTGGCCCTCTGGCAGGAACAAGTTTGGAGCCTGCCTTAAAGTGAGACATCACCATGATGTGTTCGCCCTTCTGGCCACTGCTTCACCAGGAGCCATTGCCACCCATGTGGGCGGCCTTTCATGGCATGGCGGAGACGGCAGCTGCCACGCCTGGGCACTCAGGGCCCACGTCAACGAAGCCGGGCCGGCTGAGCGAGGGCCTGATTCAGCGCAAGGTGGCTTCTTTCTGCCCAGCGGGGTCCCTTCGCTCCCACAGCAGCCCACCATGTGCCCCAGGCGAGCCACCAAACGGGCACAAAGGTAGGGGGCCTCTGGCATCTGCTGCTAGTTCTCCGGCCTGGTCCAACCCTCTTCCTCCACGTGCTCGCCAAACCCTCTTTCCACCACCTGACCCTGCGGCCATCACATCCTTAACGAGCGACTGCGTGACAACGAAAGTCTTTCTGTCTATTCCTCTCTCTCAGGCAGGAGACCCCCCTCCTAGCTACTTTCTTCACAGCATGCAAGGGCAGGCAACTTGGCGCCCTGCAGATATCTTGGACTACAATTCCCATCAGCCTTGTTGTGACAGGCCATGCAGGCTGGGGCCGGTAAGAGTTGCAGTCCAACACATCTTAGGGGGTGCCAGATCGGGGGAAGCCTGGGCCAATCCAGGGCGAGCACCCGTGTGGGGCCACGGGCTCACCCGCAATTGGAGGGCCTGCTTGGGCACCTCCACCTCGCGGCTGCCACGGGAGGCGTGGCAAAGGATGCGGGATGCCCAGGCGAGCGAGGAGAGGGCAGAGGCGGTGGCTGATGCCCAGAAGACCAAGCAGCTCCTCCGCGCCTGGCGTTTCCAGCCCCAACGGAAGCCTGTTTTGCAGCCATCTCGGCTGCCACGAGGGGCTCCTTAAAGGAATTTGGGAGGGCCAGGAAAACACCCGACCAGGAGGGGAGAAGGATGGCTGCACCTACCTTATGCACCCCAAGCGTCCCGAAAGGCAGCGGCTTGCTGCTTCTGGTGTCGATCAGCAAGACTTCGGCATCCAGGATCATGCTGTGTCCTCCCGGGAAAGCCCTGGGGATGAAGTCCTTGAAGTGGGCTACCTGGTATGGAAAACCACACACACGGCTCCTGATGACGCCCGCGGGCTTCCCGCCTTATCCCCTCTTTGCGAGGAGCTCCCCTTCCTCTCATTTCTGAATGTTTGCTTGCTCCCCAACGGAGCAGCTCCCCACCAGAAACGATGGCAGCAGCAGCAAAGCAGCAAGCCAAGCCGTGGGCACAGCAGCCAAACCCCGTGAGTCCCAGAGCGCGAGCTGGGAAGCGGGCGAGCCACGCGGAGAGCAAAAGGGGGCGCCTGGACGGCTCGGGCGGCTCCCAGCACGCCTCAGGCATGGGCTTCTCTGCTGCCCAGCCGCAAAGGGCTGCAGGGCCTCTTCCTGTCCGCACGTGCCCAGGACGGCTTCCTGAAGGCCTCGGGAGGGAGGGCGGGAGGGGGCCTCAGGGCTCACCTTGTGGGGAAGGACGGACTTCAAGCTGCGGCTGAAATAGCTGAAGTGGTCGCCCTTCTTGTGCACCTGGACGCGCTCCCCGTCGTACTTGATCTCTGCGTACATCCCGTTGGGACACTTCCTCATGGCGAACTCAATCGACTTGCAGGCTTCAGCCTTAAGGAAGCAAAGAGGGAGCGGGGTGGTGGGGGGGAAATGCCCCACTTCAGAGCTTGCAAAATCTCCCGCTGCTCGACTAAGCCTGCCTAAGACAGGATGATCTCCTCTTCCTGTAGTGCCGCAAACTACAGCTTGCACCGTCTCCCGCCAGCACTGCCGCTGGCTCAGGATGATGGGGGTTGCAGTGCAACAACCCTGGAGGACAGCAGTTTTTGGAAGGCCATCTGAAAAGTAATTTTAAGTCAATACCAAGCAGGGAGGCACAGGTTCCCTTCCACCCGGATTCTGCAGGCTGCTGGGCATCATTTGCTCAGCCATCTGCTCCCTGATGGGACCTGATTTTTCTATTTGATTGTAAATCTGTGCTTGTGGGAAGCCTCTCTGAAAGTAAAGAACCAGTCTGCATGATTTGGAAAAAGCTGAATGGCTGCAGAATTTACAGAAATGCTACCTGTCTGAATTGCCTGCGTATTTCTCCAACATCTCTAATACCAAGGACAGATCTGGGGGCAGGGGGAGAAGGGTGAAGACAACAACTCAAAGGGGATATAAAGTGTGTGTGAAAAGAGCAGTCTTTGCTAAGAGACCAAAGGCTGCCAGATGCAGCCAGGCAAGCTGGTTGGAGGCAGCTCTAAAATCTGGGGGCTGCAGCTGAGAAGGCCCTGTTGCCCAGCGGGGACGTGCTTACCAGCATGGGCTGCACGGGCGTCATCAGCGAGGCCTGAACACTGAGGGTTCTCTTCAGGCCTGGCACCTTCTGGGCTTCCTGCTGGTTCCGCAGCACCCTCTCCACCACGTCATGGAGGTTGCGGGACGCTTTGAAGGCCTCGTAAGCATTGGGGTCTAAAGCGTCTAGCCTGGGCAGGAGGAAAACACAAGGGAACATTCTTTAAAACAGGTAATTGCCTCCACCCATTGCAAGCCCCATCATCCTTCGCTGCTGACCATGCTGGCTGGGGTTCAGGGGAACCGACACCCATCCCCACCGGGATTGATTCTCTGGTTGGGAAAAACTGGTTTAAGGCATGCCGGAGTGGTGGCCCCTTCCTGAAGAGCAGCAGGAGGCTCCAGCAAGTACGTTCCACCTGCTTTTCGAGAAGAAGCTCCTTCAATCCCTCTCCAAACTGTCAAAATAATTAACACCCCCGTAATGCGAAGACCAGACCAAAGGGCCCTTCCGTCCAGCTTCGGTATCCCAAAGTGGCTGGAGAGATGCTGCGGGGAAACCCACCAGCCCAATACGAGGAGATGCCACAACAAGGCAGCACGAGGCGGTTCCGTCAGCCGTCAAATGGCTCTCACTGCCACGCGCTACGAGCAGGGTCCTGCTTCAGGGAGCGCCCGTGGGGAGAGGAGCGTGAAGATCGGCGCGTGGGGCCTGGAGCAGGGGAAGTGGCGCAGCACTGCACGCTCCACGCATCCCCGGGAGGGATCGGGCCGTGCGCATGCCCTCTGCTGGGAGGAGGCCCCGCAGGGCAGCCTCAGTGCTGCGCCCGGAGCCAGCTGCCGCCCCGGGCCAAGCCCAAAGGCAGCCGCGTCCTCCGGTTCCGACACCGCCAATGCCCGAGCCTCTCTGGCGAGGCCGGCACAGCTGAGGAGAGACCATGCCTGGCGGCGGAAGCTGCCGGAGGTACGGGCCCAAGGGTGGGCAGGATCCGGCTGCCGAAAGGCCGCAGTGGGCAGCGACAGGAAGCTGCCCGCACGAGTGACGTGTGGGTCGAGCACGGGCTGCCCCGCCGCCGTGGGGGCCTGCTGAAATGCGGGCTCGTCTGACCCCAGACGTGGCCGCACCTGTGATCCGCTGCCCGCGAACAAGGCACGGCTCACGAGCGGACTCCCTCCCTCCACGGGCTGCTTGTGCTGAACGAGGTGCGGCCACTCGGCGCAGCTGGGCTGGGACAGCACCGCCCTCCGCGTGGCGGGGACCACGTGCCCTTCAGCCACAGCCCTGGAGTTGCCGGTGCCCATGTCCGGACCGCTCCCTCACGGCTTCGCCTGGCCTCCTTCAAGCAGCCCGACCGGGTGCCCCCTCCACCTGTGGTGGCAGGGAAGCGCCAGAAACTAATGGGCAAAGGAAGCCCTGAATGTTGAGGCCAGGGGTTTTCTTAATAAGGTACTATCAGGTTTTGGGGGCTACAACCCCCTTCATTTGATGCTGCAAACAGAACTGGAGGCTTTGAGTTGGAAAAGGCAGGAAGCAGCTCAAGGCCTGTTTAGACAGAAAAGGGGCTGGGCAGGGGAGTTGTAGGCCTTTCTGCTTTCTAAGTGTGTACCAGATTGTACCCTTAAACACATATTTAGTTATTCTGGGAATTCTTCTCATCTGTAGCAGTTCTATGGTCCTCTATACCTAATTTTTAGCAACAATTTTAGAACCAAGAGGAAAAGGGACACACCTCTCTAGTGATTTTAGTTGTTTTTCTATGTACATAGTTTTAAATGTTTTATATTTTATTTTAATGCTTTTTTTGGTAAACTGCTCAGATTTTTGGAATTGGGCAATATAGAAATGTATTACATTCTCAGAGGCTGTGTTACAAAAGCTGCTCCCAAGATACACATGGGGGTTTTTTTACATCGATGTTTTCAGCATTTGGCATTCAGTATGGAAATGCCTCCTTGCTTACACGAAACTTACACATGTTTTGCACCGGCGTTCATTTTCAGATCGTGTTTAATCAGCCTGATGATGCATTTCAAGTCATTGCCGGTGCACCTGAAAAGAAAGAGGCTATTTATATGGAGGACCAGGGCCCAAAGGACATCTTCCCATGAAATCAGATAAACCAGTAAACAAAGTAAACCAGCGCCAAATCAAGTAAACCAGTAAACAAACAAACAAACAAACAAACGGCAAGAATTGGGCTTGATGAACTGCTGCCTTTGCCAACCTGGCAGGCCAACACACCTGGGGAGCACCAGGTGGAGCCAGACAGAGCTGGAAGGTTTGTCCTGCAAGGAAATGCATTGCACCGAACACCGGGAACAATTCCTCTGAAGTCCTCCTGTAGCTTTGCCCTCTCTGCACGGACGGCTTATGACAGACAGACAGAAAGAAGATGTGTCTGTCACCTAGTTACAAGCAGCTTTTTGGTTTCATCCCTACCAACGGCCAGGTTGTCTGTGGATAATGGGGACTGTATTAGGAAGGGGCCAGGATGGAGGAGGTTAGCCTAGCGGTTGGGCACACCAGGGATCATGGACTTCTGGGGTCAGCAGGCATCCTTGTGATTTTGAGAGCTCTCACAAAATGGCGGCCTTCGTGGGGAATGGGGAACCTGCCCGTTCTTAAAGGCACTGCCGCGGTGAGCACGGCTGGTTGCAAAGCTTTCCTTTCCCGGAAAGCCGACAGGAGGAAAGCAAAGCAAAGCAAAGCAAAGCAAAGTGACTAGGAAGGAACGAGAGAGCACAGGTGCGGGTTGGGCACTTTAATTTACAGCATGCAACCTTGCACTGAAGGAATCGAGATCAGGTGGGCAGGGAGTGCAGGGGGCATTCTGGGGGCACACAGTCATCCGCATCGGCATCTTTATGCCAGTCATTCCAAATCTGAGCAGGAGCAACACCTCTGTGTGAGAAAACAAAATGAATCAAGCCCCTGGCACTCTTGCCACACACCTTCAACACCTTAAAATGCGGCTCATCAGAAACTTCCCATTTTTCATTAAATTCTTTGGCATGTCATGAGTGGAGCTGGCGAGAGCAGGGGGTCAGACTAGATGGCCCTGGATGCCCCTTCTGACTAGCTCAGTTTCTCTGTTTCTATTTATAGAATTGGCTAATTTCACCGTAACTGCACACTCCCCTAGCTCTTTTTTCCTTCTTTGGTAGTTGGGCAGTCTTCTGCTTTCCGCTTTGATGGAACTGCAACTCTTGCTGCTGTTGTATTTAACAGCAACAACTCTAGCATGCTCTTCGGAAGATAATACTTCCAAAGTATAATATTTGACAGCATCAAAGGAAAATTTAGTTGAAGATTTTTTTTGCATTTCCATGTTTCTGTTTCCAAAATCTTCTAATTTTGGAATGTCCACCACAAATGGTTAAAAAGTCCCATCTACTTCTTTACATTATCCATAATCCATTTTCTGAACATCTCTCGGGGGTAACAGACCACCAATCCCCTGCCCCCATTTAATACCAGTTTTCTCTTGATGCTTGACTGGCTGTAAATTATATTTTATATTATATCCTTCATCCATAAGACATCCCATTAGCAGGTATTCCTTCTTCAAAATTCTGCATCCAACTTATCATACATGGTTTAACTTGTAAGTTTCAGTATCAAATTACAGCAATTGTTTATAGATTTGTCCCAACAGGTGGTCTTTTATGTTTAATCATAATTTCAAAATCCTTTGGATCTATCATGAACCTTTTCCTAGCTGTATTTCCTTTTCCATTCTTGAAACCAGCTGATAGAAATAAGTCATTGTATATTTTTCCCTTCATCTTTTCGTTCTTGTCAAGCTTGATTCGTCCTTGTTGGTCAACCTTGTCTCTGTGTGTTATAAAATCATTGTTCTTCCTTAAATATTTTCTATAATATGCTTCTATTGGAGGCATCACAGGAGAAATTGGAAGACTGATTCTTATTCTCATGGAATGCCAAATTTTTATTAAATCATCTCTACATTCATGGCTATTATTTGGTGTCAAATCTTTTGTAATAGATTCTTCAGTCCAAAAGTAATTACGTATTCCTTCTTCAAGGAAGCAATTTAATTGATATTCAAGAAAACCGAACTTGTCAAAATATCAGTGAGCTTCATCTTAATGCTAAAGATGGTATTTATAATTAGTTTGTAAAGACTGAACAATTACTTGGTTTAAAGACCTATATACTGGAATAATTTGCTTACTTGTCTTAATTAACATAGAAACAGAGCAAGTCAGAAGGGGCCTCCCAGCCATCTACTCTGTCCTCCGGCACCAGCCGGCTCCGCTCCTGACATGCCCACCGTGTGCATGTCCAGCCAATCTTTGAACACCCGCACCAATGGGGCCTCAACGACCTCTCGTGGAAGCCCATTTCATACCCTCGGGGTCCCAACTGTCAGGAAGTGCTTCCTGGCATATAAATGCAACCTTGATTCCCTGAGCTTCGCTCCCTTGGAGCGCATCCTGCCTTCCTCTGCAGGGGAGAACAGGTCTCTCCCCACCTCCGTGTGACACCCCCTCACATACCTGCATGTCGCCAACAGATCCCCTCTGAGTCTCCTCTTCTCCAGGCTGAAGAGACCCAGTTCCCTCAGTCTCGCCTCATACCCCATCCCCTGCAAACCGGCCACCAACCTTGTGGCCCTGCGCTGCACTGATTCCAACCTGGCTATATCCTTCCTGTAATGAGGGGCCCAAAACTGAGCACAATACTCCAATTGCGGGTGCACCAGAGTCGTACAGAGTGGTAGTAAAACCTCTTAATTAAGAACTGGTTGACTTAACTGTAGGCAGAAGAGATAGACATTTTTGCTTTTTTGTGAATTTTTCAGACGTCAATATTGTATACTGTATTTGTGTAATATCCCCGAGTATTCTTTTTCTTACATTTTTTTCTTTTCTCCTCTTCTATCTTACTCCTTTTTAATGAAAATAAGGAAAAAACGTGGCTTGAGTAACTTGGCTCTGCTAAATGTGATGACGGCACCAAGAAACGATGCACAAAGCAAGAACTGCTGCCAAGCAGCTGGCAGTCCTGCCTGCAGGACCCGGCAAGCAGTCAGAGGCACGAGCACGCCAGCAGTGTGTGCTTCAGAAAGGAATGTGGCAAGGCACCTGGCCGGGGCGTTCCGGAAGAAAACTGAAGCGAACATGCTAGACTTCAGAAACACGACCCTGGACGATGCCTTAAAGGAGGTCAGAAACATGCGTTGGTGCAGAATGCGGTGCTTCAGCTGTTAGTGAGGTCCACCCGTCCAGCCTATGCGAAGACCCTGGTGGCCTCCCTGTATGCTTCTGGAAACAAGGGGACGCTTTCTCCCATGCGAACTTGCTCAGGAGTCAAGGTTTGGCCCAGGCTCTGTCCAGCAGTGCGGACGGTAAGGCCCAAACAGGCAGAAAAGTTGATGGTTGGGAGCGGGGGAGAGTTCCTACTTCTTCTCCCGCTTTTCCCATGTTAAGCTGACTTACGAATTACCGCTTCTCTGGAAGCAAATGAGTATAGCTCCTGGCTCTATATATGTCACGGCACACTAAGCTCCGCTGTTGCTCCCCGGACTTCCCTTTTTTCTCACGACCAACCTTTTTGCCAGCTCTTGCAGCAGACTTTGCTGATCGTCCTCTTTGGAGAGTCTGGAGAGCCGCGCTAGGAACTCTTCGACTTCCTGGATCGTCAAAAGGCTCTTGGCCGCGGGAGGGCACGATTGGCTTTGCTCAAAAAAGAGCCGCACTGTCTCAGAAACATCACCCTGGCAAAAAGCAAAAACTGTGATCCACCGAGGACTGTGGACTGGCACGCTCACAGGTTGATGCTGCTAAGCATGAACCTCCGCTTTGGTTTCATTCATAGTAACGAAACCAGCCGTCTGTCTGCCTCTCCATCGCTGCCCCAGGGCCAAGATCCAAGCGGCTGAAACTTGGCAGGCATGCAAGTTTCTCCCTTGGCGTTTTCAAAATGCATTAATTGTGCTTATTTGACTATGTCCTTGGGGCTGAAGCCTGCAGCCTTCCTCAACCAGGCACAGTCCATGCAACGTGGGTAGACTACCAGGCTGAAGGGCAGAGTCGCAGGCCTGCCCTAGCACCGGCGCCACCGCAGGGCAGCCCCCCTCGAGGAAAGGGGCAGAGTCACCCCCAGGGACGGTGCCCGGGGTGGCAGGGGGCGCGTCACAGCAGGCAGCTCCAGGTGCCCAATGCTGCCTGCCATGCCAGCTTGTCCACAGCCTCTGGAAGAAGCCATTCCCACGCCCGCCCAGCTGGCCGTCTGACTGGCTGCCACCAATGGGAGACAAGCCTGGAACTGTGTCCTCCTTGGAAAAGGCCATCAAGGAAGTGGACGTGCCGGCAAGGCCCTCTCCGTGGCAGTTGTTCGCCTGCAGCGAAACAAGAGGACCCCTTGTGCTGCTTGGGAACCCAGGCAAGCGCTTCGCGGGGTGCAGGGGCCACAGGGAGCACAGCAAGCAAGAGACCGCCTGGAGCGCATGCAGAGGGCAAAGAGGAAGGGCTTTTTTCCTTCCAGAAGGTGCCATCGGCCATCTCCAATGGCAGCGCGCACATAAATGGAAGATGCACTGGCATTCACGCTCATATAGTGAGAAGCCCCACCACTCCCAGCATTGCTGGCTTCCTGCCTCAACATGCACGGGGCTGATGCCAGCACCTGCAGCCTCTGTACCGACCTGCTCCAAGTCACGGACCATGTCTTCCTGGCTGCAGCTGAATATCCTACTAAAGAGCTTGACGATCTGCTTGTCATTCAAGTTATAGACACTCTTAACGACTCCTGGCAGCAGCAGCTTCACGGTCAGGTAGAGGTCCCCACGAAAGGCGTCTGGAACAAGCCAAGACCTGCATCACGTGTGAGCAGACAGAGGCCACCCTTCCCTCCAGCACTGGGTCAAGCACACTCCTGGGCTGAGCACGGGCCGTTGTTCAAACGTGCATTTTCGTGCTGCCTGAGCAGCAAACCCACAGTGTGCAACCCAGCAACAAACCACGGGTTTCTTCATGGGTTGTTTGTGCTTCATGAGTCATGGCTTATTAGTGCAGTTGGGTTCAGCTAAATTTCTAACACCAGGCTGGCTGGAATACATTGAGCATTGTACGTCTCATTTCCATCTAAATGTGCAACCAAGTTGTTTATTTCCCTTCCTGTACAGAAACGCAGGCTTGGCCTATTTCTTTCTTCCCACTGAATTTCAGTAACCTGCTTTCAGCCACGTATTCCTAGCTGTTGAAACTGTTCTGAAAATACGCATCAATGGACCCAGTAAGAGTGAAGGTTTGCCATGTGCTGGTGGGTAAGAAGAAAGGCATCTGTGGTGCCAAGTCAAGCTCCATCTGTCAATACGCCCACAGCACGGACTCCTCTGGGGTTACCCTCCAATTTAAAGCAAAGGTCAACCATTTATTACTTTATGATCAAGCTGCACCCTTGAAAGCCTAGGCCAGTCTCCCCCAGCTTGTGCCCTCCAGGTGTGTTTGGCCACGCTCTGGGCACTGCAGGTCTTAGATCTGGCTGGAAAAGGCCAGGCCAGGGTTGCAGGGATATAGACACACAATACAATGCAAAACAATAAGGACAGGAGGAGGGAGAAAGACCAAAAACGTACCTCCATTGCTTCCCTTCTGCAGAAAGTCCTGGATAATCTGGGTTTTAACGTTGTAGCTGGGCTTATCTGCCACCATGGCGCACAGCTTCCTGAACTCCCGCAGCAGACAGTCCTTGTGCTTTGGGTCGCACTTCTCGGTGGACAAGCTTGGCTTGTGGGGCACGCTGGGGGCTGCGTCTTCTGAACTGCCAGGCTTTGCTGTACAAACAAAAGGAGGTCAGTGGAAGACGCCACTGGCTGAGGCCTTGCCCCAGGGCATTCCCTGCCAAACCAGTGCTCATTCCTGCTTCTGGCAACACAGTGGCCTGCAGACATCTGAGACCACAACTAGAAGGCAACAGATGGGGAAAAGGTGAGACAAGGGGCTCTGCTAGTCCTTCTCCCTGGGATTATTTTACTCTGAGTGTCAAGAATAATGTAAGGGAGTTCCTAGGAATTTTCCTTGCCCTGCCCTTGAGGCCCCATGTCCCTAAAAACAAGGCTCACAGAGGGAGCAGGCAAAACGAGAGAGCCTGGGTTTAAGAGAGAGAGAAACAGAAGGTAGTTTGTTTCCACGGGTTGAGGGAATGTGGCATCTCCAAAGCTGGTGACTCTCAGATGTTCCGGACAACAATTTCCAGCAATCCCTAATGTCTGAGGCTGGTGGGAGCTGAAGTCCAAAACATCTGGAGGGCACCAGGCTGGGGAAGGCTGCTGTAACAGAGGCTGGCTACAAACGCATTTTAAAAAGGAGGATGAGACAGACGGACCGATGCGGAGACTTAGCCAAGGCTGCTGCCTGCCCTGACTGAATGGATCCTTTGTGTATTCCCTTCACATCCGACCCACCGCTCACTCGGGCTGGATTCTCACCTCCACCCCCCTGCCCCATCACGACTGAGCTGAACCTGCAGCAAAATGTCACACGCAGTTTCTCACACACCTGTAAACCCTGAAAATTTCTTTGGTGATGGATCCGAAGGGGCCCCTGGCATCTTCTTGGGAGAGGTGATCTGTCCCCCAGGAGAAAGCTTTGCCTGGACGACCACCTTTTTCTTGGGCGTGCTCACAGCTTTCGAAGTCAGGTCTAGGAAAGTCAAGAGTTACATGGTCAGGACTGAAGGGCTGTGGGGCACACCTGGACTCCAGAAAGAGTTTTGTGGGCACCCAGCAGTGGGGGTCTCGGAACTGGTACCTGCCCTTTAGAAATCCCACCGTGTGCCATTTGGCCTCATGCAGCATGTGTCAGGTGCTTCCTGAAAGCACACCTGTTTTGTAGGCTTTTCCTCGCTTAAAGACCCATGTGGGGCTGTGGTTAGGAGAGAGGGGCTGGGACTCAGGCAATCTGCGTTCTGGTTCCCGCACAGCCATGGAGCACTCTGGGCGACTTGGGGCCAGTCACAGACTGAACGGGGTGCACTAAGAGGGAGGGGGAAGATCTTTAAAAATGGGGAGAGGCTGTCTTGTGTCCCAAGAAGGCTGATCCAGGGTCTGATCCCAGGCAAATGCTCTGAAAAGCCACCCCTGCCCCACAGCTCACCTGAGATGTGTTGGTTTACCAGCTCTTTTTCAGCATCCTGCAGTTCCTCCCAGCCTTCCAGGTCCATGATGTCCTCAATCTTCTTGGTCGTGGCCCGGGCCCTTTCCAGTTTCTCAAATATGCACTTGACGTGGTACCACTCCTTCATGTCTCCGCCGGACTCCGTGAACGGGTTGGGCACGACCTTGCCGATGCGCACCAGGCCCTTGAGGATCTTCTCCTTGCACTTCTTGCAGCCGGCCGTGCCGCGCTTGGCGTAGTCCACGCAGTAGCGCTGCTCTGCCATCGTGGAGGTGGGGCTCGGTGGCTCTGGGTGCGAGAGGTGCCGAAGCGGTGCAGAAGCCGAGCCACTGGCCCACGGCCAGCACCACCGGGCAGCCAAAGGCAGGGGAGCGCCTTTCCACAGCCAGGCGCACCCAGGAAAGGCCCTGTTGTTTCTGGCGCGGACGACAGGGTAAGCTTGAGTGACCAGTTTCTTCCTTCGGCCAAGGGCCCTGGCTACCTGAAGGAGCTGTGCCTCAGGAAGAAAATACATGCAGCTTTCCCAGTTTAATTGGCGCTGTGCAGGAGAGAAGAGCAAAAGGGGAAAGAGTTCAGTTCCACAGAAGGAAGCACTATTAGTCCATTGCACCAACCACGAGAAAGTGGAGGCAGCATGCCCTGAGTAACACTAGAAGGACCAAGACGTGCAGGGGCCATGACTCAACCAAAGTGCAGCAGTTGAACGCCAGCCTGGTGGTAAACAAGGAGGCCCAGAGTCATGGCCACGCACTCATTCATGAAGCGCTTTGGTCGCGTCACTGGGCCTCAGCTTAACCCACCTTGCGGAGTTCTTGTGCGACTAATTCTTAACTGATTTTTGAAATGCCCATGAATGCCAGCCACCGCAAGCACCATTTCCTTGGGGAAGAACAAGGCGCAGGTTGAATAAACCAGTGAGGTAGCTTTATTTTTTATTTGTTTATTTAAGATATTTGTATGCCGTCCTTTGCGAGAGCCTCAGGACGGCTTACACAAATAAAATAGATATACATAAAAGTATAACATAAATAAATTAACAACCCACTCTGGCTGCCATTAAAATATGATAATAAAATTCAATATTAAAACTTGTTAAAATATTGATTAAATAAAAAGGTCTTAACCTTAAGCTTTAAAGAGGCCCTGGGATGTGTCTCTTCCCCAAGTCAGTGCGCTGGACTTGGGAGGCCGTTTTCAGAGGGCAGTCCTGCCCCCGAAGGGCTCTCCGGCCCAAGCCCAGTCTAAAGCCAAAGAGCCCTCAAAGGGAAGCTGCCTGCCCGGTGAGCTCCTGGACAACCGACCCCAGAGCTGCACGACTGCTTCCTCTTCAGGCAGGCTGCTTAGTCCAGATAAGCAGAATAGTCATTTCCGTCCACATTACACCCATGCACTGAGGTTGGCATACGCAATAATGCAAACAGAGCATTCCTGGGGGACGCCCCCTCTTTCAAGGAAGGGGGTAACAGTGCACAAACACCCATTATCCTCTCCCCAACCCCAATCTGCAGCCTTGCAGTAGGATCCGTGTGTGTTTCCTCAGAAGGAAGCCCTACAAGGTTGCTCCCAAGTCACCAGGTCCAGCCTTTAAGCCTCTCTCTGACACACAAACTGTAAACACTAACCTGGCATCTTGCAGAAACTTTGGATTACAACCCCATCAGTCCCAGTGATCAGTAAACTGATGAGAGATTATGCAAATCTGAGTCCAACAAGGTTGCTCGCCACTGAGCTACAAAATAATTCAGCCCTGCTCCCTCCCAATAGACTATACCTATTAGCATGCTGGTGAGGGGGATGCTGGGAACTGGAGTCCAACACATTCAGGAGGCATCAGGTTGCCTACCTGCACCAGCTGCTGGGGAACATGGGCCAGAGAGCACTGTTGCATCCATGTCCCATGTGTGGGCAAGCCACTGTTGCAAAAGATTCGTGGTCTTTTGCGGTTTGTACAATCACAGCAACAAGGCGGCAGCAGAAGCTGCCTTGTACTGCCCGATCCTTCTGCACGCAAAGCAGGCGCTCTACACCAAGTCATGCCAAAAACCAGTAAGATTCTAGTCCTCATGCTTGTGAGTTAAGTACTGAATAGAGAAGACTACGAGCTGTCAAACAGTGAGCCAGGACTGTGGTCCACCTGTCCCAGTGTTTGACATGGACTAGCAGCAACGACTCTCCAGGGGTTGGAGCTGGGCTCCAGGGACTGAGCTTTCTGCGAGCGAGCAGGGCCTACAGCCTGAGCCCTGGCCCTAAAGGCGCGGCAAGGGACTAGTCCTCATGAGGGCAAGTCCCGGAGCGGTCGCAGCGGGACACAGCACGCGCGGTCGGTGCTGCCAGCGGCGGGGGGGGGCAGGCAGACGTGCCCCTCCCGGTGGGCCTGGGCGGGGCTCAGGGGACCAGCCTCGCGCGCCCTCCCGGCTCTCCTCCCCGCCCCTCCCCGCGGCCCAGGCCCTACCTCGGCCTCGCGCCCGGCCCTCCGCCGCGGCAGAGCCCCTCTCTCAATCCGGGTACGTCCCTCGCGCGAGCGACGCACGCGCAGTGGGAAGCGGCCACGCACGCACGTGCGACGGCCCCGCCCCGCCCCCGGCTCCGCCTTCGCCTTCCCAAGCCCCCCTACGCAGCGGGACCGGGGCGAAACCACGCCCTCTCCAGAGCGACCGTGCCCTGGGCAGGCCTCCGGCAACGTGGCGCCCTCGGGTGGGCCCGGTTCAGCATGCTGGGAGTTGGCGTCCGGCCCGCCCGGAGGGCCCTGAGCTGGGTTAGCGCGCCGTTTAGGCAGGGGCAACCCGCCACCCAGCAGGTATTGTGAACTCCAGCCCCTTAAGCCCACCCCTTGATTGGGGATGATGGGGGCTGTAGTCAAAAACTTCTCGAGGAGGCCGGGGCCCTGCCCCAGCTGTGGATTAGTTGCTTGTGTGCTGGAGAGAGGCTTCACTCCCGTTCCTGCTTGCTTGGGAGTGCCCGTCCCGTGGATCCACCGCGCGCTGCAGGTCGGGTCGGGGACAGGATGATGGGCACGCATGCAGCGCTGCTCCCGGGCTTGTAGCCAGGCCCCAGAAAGTACCTTCTGAAGGTCTAACCTTGCAGAGGTCTAAGTTGGGGCCACTCCTACATGGCATCCTGCAGATTCCTGCTAAGAATTCCTGCAGGGGAAGAAGCGCATGGACAGGATGCGTAATCAGAGGTGCATGTGAAGGTGACTTCCATACGTCCATCGACGAGGGGAAATAGCGCTGCGTGGGCGGCGGGAAGCATTGCCGTGCCTTTCGAGAGAGAGCAAGAAATAAAACAGGGCAGGGGAGAGGATCCCGCCCAAGTTTGTGTAACAAACAATCCTTAAAAGAAACGTTACACAGGACGGATCCTGCTTCCTCCCCTCTAAAAAGCCGGCCCGTGGCTTGCAATTTGAACACATGCAAACATCCCACTTCCAATAGCAAAGCAATAGGGCACGGCCCTGTTTTCCTTCTTGCAGGGTGGCCAAATGCCCATTTTAGAGAGGATAGTCCTGCATCTGAAGGTGCCCGCTTTTGTAAGGGCTCTCTAATCCAAATCTGGTTTAGGGGGCAGTTCTAGGAATGCTTAGACAGAAAGAAACCCTTTGACTCCCATGCTCAGACCGCACTTCCTGTCTAAACATGCACAGGACTGAAGCCTTCAAGGCAGTGAGCCCTGTGAAGGGACAGTGTGGACCGTGCAGTCTTCTTTTCCAACACCATAGAGTATGCTGTATTCGTATTCCAAGGATTTTCATCTTTCAAAAATTCCCATCTAGATGTTCTTAATTTCCACCTGGATATCAAAATGTCATGTGTTTTTAAAGCTATGCACAAGTGCCCCCCCTCTGCATGGGGTTTTCCCGAATTTCCCTTCTGTTTGTTACAAGGGGAGAGAAATGGGCATTCGGGCAGGAATAGGTGCTGGGCCAGAGAAGGAGGATCATCGGGGGGCTGCAGGACTTTCATCCAGACACGCATCCTTTCCTTCGACACTGGGATCACCTCGTGCACATGGAATTCTCTGCAGGCAAAGTGGAAGCCTCTCCATCACCAGCGGAAGTCGGAGGGCCATCGCTACCGAATCCTAAACACACCCCATAAGCAACATCACGGAGATTCAACCCTGACGGGCACAAAGAAAAGGAACAATGATTATGTGTTATTTTTCTGCAGTCTTCTTCAAAATCGTGGCAGATTCATCATCCTTATAAATAGTTGCCCGTCACCCTTCCCTTGAATTTGAAATCGTTGGCTGTTTGGAAGCTTAACAATAGAAAATGTTTTTCATACCTGCCTCAATTGTGTGTCTACTTCCAAAAGTGGTCGGCTGCAGGTATTACTCTTTACCATTACTTTGGCTGCCTTCAAAAGCATCTGCAAAATTACCTGGAGAGGAAATCTTAAATATCCGCTATTGGACATTCGGACCTGATGTTTGGAGGGAGCTGCTTGGATCCGCTTTGACAGCTCCCACATTTCCTAACTTTCCCTTGCTATTTCCTGTGGAAACGTTGGCTAAAAGCTTTTCTGGTTTGTAGTTTTGTGGAAAAGAAGTTTAAAATTAATATCCTAGAATCATAGAATAGAATCATAATATGTTCTCCTTTTCCTCCTCCCAGAAATTTCTTTCATTTTATTCTGCCCACTTTCCCTTGCAATTTCAACCCGCCAGCTGCATTGTTCTTCAGCAGTAAAAACCATTTTGCTAGGTACTATTATGGGCAGGAGAATCAATCCGTGCTTGGTGTATTGCAAAGATGGAAGCAGGATCAAGGCAAAGGGGCATCGGGGTCCCCTCCTGTTGGAATGCCTGCCTCCCCCAGCCCCAGGAAATGTGTGGGGAAGCAGTCCTGCTGGCAGCCTACTAGTCCTGCTGGCAGCTTAATGTTTTCTTCTTCCTGCCCGATCCCTTTTCCTCTTGTGTCATGTCTTTCAAGATCCCAAACCTGTAGGTTTTTTCTTCTTTGCTGATTGCAAGCCCTGCTGGGAACCTTCTGAGGTGGGGAGGGAAAATAGAATAAACCTACTTCAGATGAATGAATAAAATTATGTAAGGTGCGTGGGGGGGTTAAGCACTGAGTTCAGTAATTTGTCTTCTGGATTTTTATCGGCTCTTTTTCTACAGCAGCATGGCCTGTGATGATGGGGGAAGTCGTGGCTTGCAGAGCACAGACGTCCAGATATATTTACATCTGCTGTGGGTCTTGCTGGAACCCTCCTCAGAGCTCCGATGCTGGCCAAGGGAGGGGGCGAAGACCACCCCTGCTACCGCATGACCTGACAGGCCGGGCAGGCCCACGACACGCTCGTGCGCACAAGCCGGAAGGAGAGCTGGGGAGTGACCCTCCAGGTGGAGGAGGCGAGCAGCTGCGTCGAGCAGAGCAGCGCCAGCCCAGGTTCGGGGGGGCTGGTGTGGGGAGCCCTTGCAGGGGTCCCTGGAGAGCCACTTTGCTCCGTCACCCCCCTGCCTGCCCCCCACTAGTCGCCTTCGTACAGCCATCACCCCCAGCCGCCTAGCTGCTGCTGCTGCTCCCCCCCGTCGCTCACAGGTGCTGGCTGGGCAGGCACCTTTGCCCCCCCCCCCCCCAGCACAGGCTGGGCCAGAGCGAGAGGCAGGCGGCATGCGGGGGCTGCACTGGTGCAGGGGGAGCCCCTCAAGGGGTCTTGCAGTAGGTCCCCAACGAGAAGGAGGCTCTCTGGAGATGCCAAAGCACCCCTGGATCCCCAGAGCCCCAGTGGCCTGGCCGGCCATTTAAAGCCACCCTGAAGGACGTCCACAGGGGCCTGAGAGTGAGCAGAGCGGCGCGTTCACCCGGACGCCTGCCAGGAGGTCCACACCGGCATGTTTGCCTTCCGGTGACGTTCCTGCGTGGCCCAACGGGGTGCCATTTCGGTTGTCTTCCTTCCACTTCTGGCTTCGCCCCCCCCATGCAGCTGTCCCACATGATGCTCACTTGCTCGCTGGGATGAGAAAAGAGCGCCCACGTTCAAGCAGTGCGCACTAGGAGCCCGGCTCTCCCGCATGCTCCTTGCGCCGTCGGGCAGCACCTGGGCAGGAAAAGGCCGCCAGCGGCTCACGCAGGCTCCCGTCCAGCGAGCGGGAGAGGGCCGCGTCTGCGGGAGGACCGATGCGGTCCGAATGGGGGCGCGTGGTTTTGGGGCTCCTGACGCGGAACGAGGCGAGGAAGGCGGCGCTCCGGTGGGCAGAAGGCAGATCCAAGGGGATCTGATGTCTCGGGCCTTTAGGAGGGCGCAGGCGGCAGTGGTGGGGCAGACAGCCCCCCAGAGATTCGGGGCTCCCGTCGCACTGGCCCTTCCCCAGCGCCGCCTCTGGCTCTGGGACTCCCTCGGCCTCGTTTCTGCACACTGCAAAGCTGCATCCTGAGCCAGGAGCCCGCCAACTGTAGGGCAGTCGGGATTCCAGAAGTCGCCCCCCGAAAGGTAAAGGTGCCAAGTGGCCTCGGGCCCCTAAAACCACTAATTGTCAGGTTCTGCTTTCTCCCAGGTACCTGCTATAATGGGTATTAAATGGCCCGTCCCAAAGAGGGTGGGGGGGAAGACTCCCCCACAAGCGTTTTAAACACTGCTCTGCCATTCTGCTTGATAGTATTAATGGAAGAGTTTGCAAATTGATTGTTAGATTAGAAAGATGCTTGATCGTTAATTGATTTTAAATTTGGGAAGTGCAGCAGCGAGCAGTGAAAAATGGCCGCTCCCTTTTAGCTGCGTGCTATTAAAGCCCAGAAAGAGAGAGGCACAAATTACCCAGGGGTTGGCAGGAGACGTGATGGATCTGTATTACGTTTCACATCAAACGAGCAATTAAAATGGGGGGGGGGTTGCTTGCCTCCTTGGAATTGCTTATCATGCCATGGCACTCCTGCTAGACCAAGGAACTCGTTTGGGGAGGAGCAGCTGCCACACTCAGTGCTGTAAGGAGACAGGGATATAGGAAAACAGAAGCTGCCTGTGTACTGGGCCAGGCCCCGGGTCCACCTGGCCAGCCCTGCCAACACCAACTGGCAGCTGCAGCTCCCCATGCTGTCGGGGAGGACTTTCTCCTGCCCAACCTGGAGATGCTGCCTGGGGCTGAACCTGCGAAGTAGAGGCTCAACCACTGAGCGATGCTTCCTCCCCCCAGACAAGATGCTAGTCCTCATGGTGGTGAATGAAGAATTGATTGAAGCTGGAGCTTCAGAAGCTGCCTTCTGCTGAGCCCTTGGCCCTTCTCACCCAGTGGTGCCAACACGGACTGGCAGCAGCAGCTCCCCAGGCTGTCAGGGGGGATTTGCTGGCCTGCGCTGGAGATCCTGGAGGTGGAATGGGGGCACTGCTGTGAGGCAGGGCGGGGGCTCTTTCAGGGAGCTGCTCTCTCAGCAGCCTCAAGAGCCGCTGGACAGCAATCCCAGCTGGGGCACCTTGAGATTTATCCCTCCCCCCGCCTCCCTGCAGTCCTCCTCTGGCCCTGCCCGCAGCTCTCAGGCCTCAGCATCACTGCCAGCCCATCCCTGGTGCGCAGGAG